TTGTCATGGATATTACTCAACAGTTATATCGAATATCTAGAATATGATTTTTCCTGTTATCGTAATTATCCATCCTCCGCTGCCACCAATTATCGCATAATGGAAGATGATTTAAGTAAATTAAACCCCTGGGTGAAGTAAGTAAACGCTGACATTTTGAGTCAACGTGACCTGGAAACACCTAATTGACCTTGAAAGAATATTTTGTAGATTGAGAATGTATGAAGCAAATCTACTCAGTGATTTCTCCATGCAGCTTCATTTGCCATTCACTATCATAATTGTTAGATTATTTCCATCATATCGATAACACAAATACCTGTCATTGTTTCATTTGTGTCAAATATTTGTTAATCTGAATGGAGAATAATAATAGCCCGTTTATACAGCTTATGATTGTGTAATAATAGTCATATTCAATACCATGGACCATACCATACCATTTACTAAAACAAACTTTAGCAGGGACGATTTGCAAAGATTTTATCTTTTCGTTTATTGATGAATAATTTGTTTGTAAAAACTGAAGTTGTATGAAAACGACAGATGACCTAATTATGACACCTTCCGAGTCCCCCTCAACCTCCTTTCATTTCATTATTTAGCCTGATAGATGGGTAACAGTTATTAGTGGAGGGGACAATTTCCTTATTTGGTGCTTGAAACAGGGGTAACAGTTATTAGTGGAGGGGACAATTTCTTTATTTGGTACTTTACACAGGTGTTGCAGTTTAGTGACGTTGGTAAATTTCTTTATTTGGTGCTTGATACACAGGCCCGTAGCCAAGGGGGGGGGGGTCCTGGGTAGAAATTATTTCAAAACCATGCAGTTTTTTATCATTCTGGGCTCTTTTCGCATGGATTTTCACAAAAACTGTCAAAGAGCAACTGAAACCTTGTGAATCAGGATGACCAGGAGGGGAGAGGGCGTTGATCCTAATGAACCGAAATCACTCAATTTTAACCAGTTGGGTAAAGCATACAGTATAATGGAAGTGAGAGCCCTTGGAGAAATTATGCTTGGTAGAAAAACGCCTTCACTAAGTACAGGCCATTAGTTATTCCCCAGGTGAACCTTCAACCCAATTTTGTGACTGATATACATTGATATAAGAATCACATGGGATGCGAATCAGATCATTTGCTCTATCAGCAAATCCAATAAATATTCACTGAGGATCTCATTCATTAACAGAAATCATCCATTCTTATTTTCGAAACAAGTTTCAGAAGTGACGATTTATACATTGAATGATTCCCTCACTAATATATTGCTTCTATCTTCGTTAGCCTTTTCAATTATGAGTCACACATGATGGCGTTGTTTACAGGTTCTACTTACCATTTTAATTGTTTGATTTCGTCTCTTTGGGGAGGCCCTCGTTCAAAAAATCGAACGTATAATTTGATGAAACAAATGTAAAAAGCTTTGAAATGAAAAATGCCAGAGTTTTCTTCTAATTGCTATCCTAACATCCAGTAGATTGTTTCCGTAGCTTCTAGATATCAAATGTCAAAGTAAGTCAAAGAGGATGCTAAGTCGACTATAGCTAGCTTCGATATCAAATGTGAAATCAGTCAAAGGAAATGGCAAGATGTCCATATACAATAGCTCTTACCAGAGACATATCAAATTTTAGAGTGAGTCGAAGAAAAAGTCGAGGTGCCCAAAGACTATATATCCTTAGACGTAGGTATCAAATGTAAAGGTCATTAAAAGAGAAAGCGACAGCCATGCCCGTAGACTAAAGCACCTACATATCAAATTCTCCGCAAATGCTATTTAAGTCAAAATGTAAAAGGAAGACTAGAGTGCCAAGCTAATAAGTGATATGACATTTTACGTGACAAACTCCATGGAATAGCTAATGCGAAATTCGAACATAAATTTTACAGTTGCACATAGTATATAATTGAGCCATATGTTGCATGCTTACAAATGACTGCTTTTAGCATTCAGAATGGTTCTTGTTCAATTAATTATTGTAGGATCCTGATTTACGAAATTATCAGACAGCGTATTCTAAAGGTTACTTTGCGTTAATGTCATCAGAATAGCGCTGAGCAGTATGTAAACTCTTTTAGTTGCAGTTATTTGATTTATTTGGGGACACGATCTATTGTCAAGAGAGCAAATGGGACATTTAAACAGACACAAGAAAGGTTTTTTATTATACAAAATGGCCTTTTGCCGCAGAATAGTTTAATCTACAATGATTCGATTATCAGCTTCAGTCAACTTTCAATTCCGTTTTATAATTGTCTTTAGACATATATTCTTTGACCATATCGAAATATTGACTTTCAAAAGGTAGTCTTCATTAAAGTTGCAAAAATGAGTTAATTTTTGTGTTGACTTAAACCAGCGTTCTCAATACTTGGCATAATCACCATATTTCCAATCAGACTTGTTCTACAGATAGTAAAGTACTAAACTACAATTTGCTTGCTGTCAAGTACAAACCCCCTATACTTTATTTAGACGTATTAATCACTGAATAAAGGCCCAATTTATGCCTTCGAATCTATTCTCCTCCAATAAGTCAGGATATCAGATAGATCTTTAAATACGAAGTAATCTCCGCAAGGCCCGACATTCTAAGTATCTCTTTACCATCCTCTTTTAAATGGTCACTGTGAGATATTAAGTCGAGTAATCATTTTGCATTAAAAACGATGACAATGTATAGCAACAATAAAATTCTGAGAAAAAGTCTTTTAAAGGTCCCGTGCAAAATACTTTTATCATCCAAACATTATACAGGGTGTCAAACAAGTCCCGTCCCCCTGCTACAGCCAAATCTTTAATGTATGGTACCTAGTGGGATATACCATTGGAAAAATCATCCAAAGTTATGTTAACTCACCAACCCTCAAGTATTTTGGATGAAATTTACCTACATTTTCACGATGTCTTTTATAGTTAGTTTACCCTCCTTAAACAGTTTTTATTGCATCAAAATGAGAAGGATATGACCTCAGAAATATGTCCAAAAGTTAACCTTTTTTCGCATTCCACTTGAAAAAAATTGATTGACATGTGTCAGATATATGCCAACCAATGTAACTTTTGAAGACCTTTCCAATGATATATCACACTTGGTACCATATATGTTGTTTTTTGCTGTAGAGGGAGGCGGACTTATTTGACACCCTGTATATTGTGATTTAAAGGACTTCCCTAGATGTTTTTCTAAAATATATTTTTCGATTTTTTAAAAAGACGAGTACTTTTCAATTTGTAGATAGATCGGTATTTTGCCAATGTTTAGCAGTGTAGTAGATGTAGGTGAGCCCAAAAAAATGTTACTATATCGCCAAAACAATAGTCTGTCACTTTTATTTGACCTTTGTTTGGCATCTGTAAGCGTTCGGCGGTGGACCTTTGTAACAAATGGCAGGTAGTGACATTTTGCATGTAATGCCTTGTTTTAATAAAGTGCAAATAAATACAATTGCGGACCACATTTTGTTCCCATGTACCACTCCATTAGAAGGTGATGTGATTGTAACTTTACATAGGGCCTTTAAAGGTAAACCAGAAAGGAAAGAATATTTTGAGTTAATATCCTACATCAATGTGTCATGCTCAAATGAGTTCAATATCTACACTGAATATAGAATACATGTGCATGCAGACAAACTGTTTCTGAATCTTGTTTGACAACATTTTTAAAGAACAGAACGATCAGAGACAATATAAAGATCCGTGTTAGGGTTATTACCACGCTGAGTAGACTTAGAATAAACGAGCGTGGCCATTTATCACATGATAGAGCAACATAAACCAATTCTCACTTTAAAGGTCTGGGAATCAGAGGGGATTTAAATTTCCGTCGATGTGCGCTGAATACATTGGCAACGTTTTCCTGAATTCTGTATGTAATAAAAGAGATCGTATTTGATTCTGCAGTAACATCTATGGCTAATCAATAGATAATGTAAATTCCGACAAAAATTAGAGATGATAGGATTTGCATTGACTTATGTTTTAATTGTACTTTGTATTCATAAATAATTCCATTTCCGATTTTACAACAAAGCGAAAATAATTATTCACGATGTATGTTTTGAAGGCATTAATAGTTGTCGAGAAATAGCTGTAATCCAGTCGAGGATCTTACCAAACGTTGTGTGGCTCTTTCCGAGACGAAAACTCTAGAACCGAAGATCGCTACCAGTGTCCCCTTGCGCCAGCAGATACGAAGTTGGTTACTCTAAAATAACTTAATAGGATAAAGAAAATATTGCCCTTTGTATTCGTTGGACTTTGTTTCTTAATTTAAGATAGCTTCGTTGCAATTGTAGTTTATAGCCAAACTCTGCGCGCATGGTAAGAAAAGATCGAGGACATTTTTGTATCCGGTCGCGATATAGTGGTTCGAATCCCGGTATCGGATTTTGCCATAAAGGATCATACGCAAAATAAATTACTGTGCTCTGTAGGTTTTTGCTCTGTTTGCATAACAGATCAGAACAATGGTGCCTGGTACAGAATATAATGACATGTAAATTGTACAATGTTTTAGTTTCTTTAGCAGTATTTCCTCGCTGTACCACGGGAGATGTACCAGGGACCAGTCTCTTAGTATAAATTGACTACAAGTTCATGCCTTTGCACAGAGACATTATGTTTTATATGTCTCTGCTTTGCATTGTGATACACTATTGAGCTATATTGGAAATATGCTCGGGAGATTAACGATACTTTTCGGTCAGGTTTGGTGTTAATATAACCGTTAATTCGTTGATCAATGAGGGATGATTTGCCTATAACATACTACAGTATCTATGTGATATATGCATCTGCATTTATTTCCGTTTAAGACATGTGCTAGGATGATTGCTCGAATGTAATACAACTATACTGTTCTAACTCTGTTAACCGACATTAGATCATATCAAAATGTGGTTATAGTACATTTTATACATAGGCTGCTCGAACCATTTGATTAAACGTGTTCAGGCACTGAATATTTAATGCCACTTTTGCAGTAATACGATGGAGGAGATATGGGATACATACGGAAAATAAACGTATATTTGCCTGTTCGCATGTGTGTGTCTAGAAATTAACCACTCAAAATATCAGTTCCGTGAGTCAAATGTAATGTCTTCTCATTAAGTACTCCGTGAGAGGAGAGTCGAGAGAAAAGCATTATGCAAAGTGGTACTAGATATGCAGCGACAGACGGAGAGACCCAACACGGTCTGCAAAGTAACCTGCTCAAACCTATGGACGTCCTAGATTCGCACGGTGAGAGAGGGGACTTTTTGAGGCGCTTGCACACACTCAGCTCGACAGAGACAAGTGGCATAGGTGACTGCCATACGACGCTATCGAGGGAAGAACTCAACGGTAAAACCACAAGGCAATCAAGTTTCCAAACAGACGTTGACAGCCCTAGAATCCCAAGGCGTAGACATTCATTTGAACTGGCGATAATGGGAATGTACACCAATCATTCATCGCACGAGGTGCCGGACGAAGGTATTGATACCAACGATGATCCTGTCGAATTTGACGAGCTATTCAGTCGGAGTCATATAGATATAAGTGGAGGGACTAATATCGATCGTTCGATGTTTTTTAGTTCACAAGAACGGCTTAAAAATAGAGGACCAAACACATCCAGTTCAGCAGCGGTACAATATGAAATGGGGGAATACTGCACTAACAGTCCGGACAGATCGGACTCTCCAACTTCATCTATACCAGGTGACTTTGGAGAAGGCAGGAGCCCTGATGATCACCACAATAGTTCCCGTAGGAACTCGAGGGCGGGGAAAATGGAATCGGATTGGATGCGATGGGGAAGGGACAGGAGAGATAGCATGAAGAAACGCAATGATAAACTTGAACAACACCAAAAACAAATAGAGTCCAAGCGTACACCAACGCCTGTTAAAAAGGCCAGAAAGGAAAGTTTAAAATTCGTAGCAGCTGGATATGCAATCAATGACACTGACCTCTCCATTGATGATGATATCCCAGAAATAGAGGAGAACCCAAGAATTCTTCAGAGAGAACGTCTTATGTCAAAGGCATCTAGTGGCTTGACGCCGGTGTCACCAATCAGGCCACAACGCTACAAAAGAGCAACATTTGACCCTAATGTCTTAACAGCATTTTGGCAACATAAGATATTTACCAGGGGTAGGATTGTTGGTATCACCCTCAGCATCATAGCGTTCATCACCAACATAATCTCAATCGCAAATCATTACTGGTTATATCATACAGGTCAGTGAAATTAAGTCATTTATTTCAGAAATTGTCTCCCGTATACCATTTAGATAGACTATGAAGGCGTTTTAATTACCTAATTCTTGCTACTGTACATTGGTGACAATTTTAGTTGGGCCTATTCACGGGTATTTGCTAAATGCCCCCCCCCCCCCGAATGCTTCGTCGTCTTTAATCACCTTGCTAATCAAGCCAAAGATAGTAATATTTGAAAGCATTCGGATGGCATGACTCTTCCCGTGTATGATTTGAATCATCTTCAGTTTAGCAATGAGTGAAATACACTTACAGATGCGGAGTCTGTTCAAAATTATTACAAACGCTTTCGGATACTCTCTTTATTGAAGTTTTCACGATACAGGCTTAAGTAGAAGTAATGAATCTTTTGTAACGCAATTCCCAGGGCACGCTTAATCGCATGCTGCAGAGTTTTAGTTATGCATTTCATAATTTTAAATGATAACTGTTACACATAGACTTTTATTTTACTGTTATTTATGTCATACTGGTAATTGTTTTTCTATGATTACTAAGCGCTTTGACTAAGTAGAATGAGACGTCACACACTCCCCCTTTAAAGAATTATGTCACGGGAATTGTAAAATCACATGTGGCAACAACAGAGAACACGCGAATCAACTGATGTATCTAATAAAATGAGAACCTGAGCACCTGTTAGCTGTAAAAACAAAGCATTATTATTGCCTTATTGGATATAATAGCATGTATGCATGTACTTTATTGAATGCTTCCAGATCAACAGGTACAATCCAATCATATCCATTCTGGCTTATGGCTGCGATGTAATTCTCATAAAAATACTTCTTCCGAAATCTGCACGTTTATATCAGATGAACGTAAGTTTTAGCTAGTTTTAGTAGTATGACCCACCTAATAGAAATTCACAAATCATATACTAAATTAAAGCTAAGTATGTTATGTTCTTCACTCTACCTTTCTTTAGCATTAGTCCATTTCATTCCACGTTTCGTTTTCATTATCATTAAGTGGCCAAACATCGGGCCAAGACGGAAAAAGAAGCTGTATGATGGATATCAAAATAAGGCATAGAGATTTCGCTAATTACTCTATGTAGGCATTGATCTCCATCCAAAATCACAAGCACTATAGTCTTGCATCAAGGCATTGTTACCCTCTCTCTAACCAAGTTGCAGAGAAGATTAGGTACAAGCGTTCATGAATTATTAGTTTTTTTCTTCTTCAGACTGGCAACGTGCTGTGATTGGACTGCTGATTTTCACCTTTGCCTTTGGTTTGTTGGCCACTGTGTTGTCCATCTGTGGCATATTTAGCGCACATATGGGCAAGAAAGTCTATTTCTACCACTCGTCTGGAGAGATGTTTTTTATATGTGGTAAGTTCTCTCATCTAGATAATTTATAGAGTAAAACGTTTTCCCAGGGTTATATGATACACGCAGGTTATCACTCTAAGTACATTTAATTAGTTCAATGATATACATCTGAGTCTTGCATTGAGACCTTAGTTTATGCCCCCCCCCCCCATTCAACGTCACTTCTTTTACATAAAGATGGAGAAACAGATAAGGGACAGATGTTTAATGCAAGACTACTCATTCTCCTGTATTTATGTTAATTTTTCAGCTGTTGGTTTCATAAAATTGGATTTAAAGTTTGAACTAAATTGATAACATTGGATATCCGCCCACATCCGATGTTTAAATTATTTGATTATAAATTTTAATTTGATTTCATATCAAACTGACTATTTTGTCATTACATAATCATAGGCAGACTCACATCCCATTTGCGAAGCCTATATTTCCAGTCCCGACTATAAAAAGTTGAGGTTGGATATCCATTCCGAGTCTTTACGCCGTGCATATGATATCCTCAACTTACTATTCATTTCGGGAGAATCGAATTAAATGACTATCGATAATATTGCACATATATAAAGAAGCATACAATCTCAGTGTTCATACATAAGGGTTATGTACTGGGAGGTTTTGGATATGGGGTTTATCCAGAGGGAGATATGCATATCTACCTGAGGGACCGTAGGGACCGAAGGTAGATGTGTATATCTCACGACATGGCTCATGTGACAGCTAATTTAGTAAGTCAGTGTTTCTAAGATCGTTCGATTTCCAGCCCTCTCGACCCCCCCCCTCCCTTTAAACATCATACGTAAATGTGGAACGGATAGAGGAGGGAGTATAAGCCAAAGATTAGGATTCTACATGCCATTGAACATATATTTATGGTATCAGTCACATTAGAATAATACAACTTTTTATCGTGTCTCTTCCATCGATTTAAGATGTTTCCTCGACAAGCTCAATTTTTTATTCATTATTCCAATGCGGGCTTTGATAAGGATATAGGGAATCATTTGTACGTACGTACGTCAGTTCGTATGCTTTCAATGATTAGCTCAAATGACTGTCAATTTTCCTGCCGATAAACTTCCGTAAGTCAGTATCATTTTTCGCAAATAAATAATTGTGTGTTTTATTAAAAATTGTTTCAGTCTAGTCGCGCTCTGTGAAAGTCAAAATAGCCGTTAGAATGTACAAATTTTGTTCTTTTCTGTTACATTCGCTTATATTTTGTCACATATATAATGACATGATATGGAAAGAGATATTCCGAGATTCTAATAAGTGCATACTTGCCACCCAGTGTGAAAATAAAAAAATGAAATTGATTTACAACAAGTCTCATTGACTCCGCTATTCAAGTCCCGATTCAAGTATTCAAAAGAAGACATCGTTTCAGGGGATGTTGATTTGCAGTGAAAAGACAATTTCAATTAATTCAATCTAAATCAATTCGCCAATGACTCTGGGTTGAACAGTCCCCCATGTTTTTCTCAATATCTTGATTTGCAGGTAAACTAATAAAACACATCGTTTGAGTTCAGGCCTTTGTCATCGTGATTGTGTCGTTGCTAGCAGAAACATTTGATTCATCAAAACACTTATTGCACAGTAAAGTTTAATACAATTTAGCTTTGATCGTGAAAAAATGTATTTCCCTTGTGGTTCTGTGTTCGACTATTTGACATTTATCTATAAGCTTGCCTGACTGATCTAGCAGAATGCAGCAACCGTCAGATGTGTTTTACATTCATAAATGAGCTAATGATCCAGCCGTGAAATGTTGAGATACAAATCATACATTTGCTGAAATCGATATATTTATGATCTATGGAGCGCATTAGACCAGATCTACTAGCCTTTGAGAGATGTTTCGGAGATTAACCTCATAATTTTGTTACTTATGTTGTTACTTATGTATTTACGATATCACTGGTTGACCAGCGCTCATTTTAAACTATGTGTTCAATTTTCCAAATGAGCTGATGTGATCTTCGTTCATGTCTTTTGAATGATTAACCTGATCCACTTCACAATTCACACTTACCTTTTGTGGGACACTCGAGTCCATATAATTAATAGCATTGTACGCTTTGAGCTCCTTAGCTAGAGAAAGTATACGAAATTAAATCTAGAAGCTAAAACCGTACATTTAGGAACTGTCAATATCATCCTATAAAACATAAATTTTGGGCATATGTAGAGGTAATACTAAGAGAGTGACCGTACGTTGGATTTATCCTGAAAATTAATATGATAGTCTACCTGAGGGTTAATCTCGATATGAGGACTCTTAATAAATTAATTAAAAAGAATATATTTGAGAAAAAATGTTTCGATAAAATTAACAAAATATTCGAGATGAACACCCACCTCATCTCTGTGGCCCAAGCCATCTCTATGAAATCAGCACGCTTGTTTGCTCGTTGCTTATGGTGAAGCCACCCGTCTACCCCTGATTTCGTCAATCATCCTGTCCGTGCAGTGTGTACCTGGAAAGATAAAAAATAAATAAATAAAAACCTACATACCTGAAAAATAAAAAAATAACTGTACCACATCAATTTTCTTGAATTATGCATCCTGATTCCTGATAACACGAGATGTCATCGCTTAATTTCGTCTAGGAGCAAAATGATATATTTCGTGCTCATAGAAGTTGACTGCTCCTAGACGTCAACCAGAGTGATCCATCAAGGTATTACATATGACTGAAGGAATACACTGGTTTAACAGTATGGAATAAGTATAAGTAGCTCTTGGATTAAAAATAATTTGTTTGAAAATCTTGAGATTTATATTTAGACAACCTGCACATAAACGTTCCAATTTCTCCCGTGGATAATCATCACATATTTTTGTTTTGCAACTAGCAACATTTTTCTAGAATAGAATTATCTCTCGTGACCCTAGACAATTGCTGTGTAAGATGCATGTCTTTAAAGAAGACCATCAAACTTATAATCATAAAATACTGGCTCACTAATGATGCAGAACTTAAAAACCATCATCCATCTAGCCCCAAAACGTGTATGTAGCGTTTTGGAGAGGGACGTAGTCTGATATCGTTAGACGAGAATTCGTTGAGATGCTTTGAAAGATACCATCACCTTATGAGTTCTGATTCGAGCCCTCTTCCCATTCCTCAAAGTGGATGAATCAAGATTGACGCATTATGCCCAATAAATGTGGGCATATGAGAGCTAGCCTAATTTGTTTTCAGACTAAAACGTTTTGAATTGCTCGTTGCTAATGCGACTGTCAGTCTCGAAATCATATTATATTAAAGGTTTACGTCGATTTTTAACTTAGAATTCAGTCTAGGGCATGAACGGTTTTGGAGAACTTGTTACACTGCTGTTTTGATACATCGACGGCTGATTTAATAAAAGCAATAAGAGTTTCTCGAATCGAAATTGGTCCCATGGTTAAAAAAGAATCTAGCTACATGCTCTTGAGAGAAAATTAATTTTAATAGCGAAACCTTGATGAAAGTCGTTAATCACAATGGGAAGTATTCATGACGCAAAAGTTGAATATTCCATTTCAACCCCAAAATCATACATCTATACTGTAAATTTGCCATAGACCGTGTCAATTAGGTAAATTCCCTCTAAATCGAGTAAATGATGACAAATGACTAAAATTTCCTTCATATGTTCGCCATCTTAATTCTTGAAGTTTTTGCTCTGAATATGTAAATTGTCTTGGAGGATTCATGGCGTCAAGCTTTATGTCACCACCAGGCAGGTGTGACGGGGTGGGTGGGTTGCGCTCAGCGTCTGTAGCAGGGTTTGTAGCTGCACTAAATTATATACAGTGACCATTAACAATGATAGTGATGATATTTTGTTAAATTTTAATGCTTTGTCTACATTTGCTGGAATAATGTTTCTCTATACACTCTACTTGCAGGTCTAAACTCTTCAGCAGCCTTAATCATTTATTTGGTGGCAGTGGAGTATTCCAACTTCACAGATCGTTCATATGGAGTTGGCTTCATCATGGGCTGGTTCACTTCAATATCATTCTACATATCTGCCACGTGCATGGAGCTGGACGAATTGGTCCGGTATTATAATAAAACCTGCACCCATTGCTGTAGCAGGGGTGGAGTGCAACACGTGTAGCTCGTGTTTCATGATAGGAGAATTATTGCAATTGTTTCGCATAATAGTTGTGATTGTTTGGCAAAATTATTGTGATTGTTCAGCAGAATCATTGCGATTGTTCAGCAAAACAATCGCCATAGTTGTATATATCTGATGTCGGAGGGGCGTCTCACATGTGTATATATAATCAAGTATGTCTTCCTCTTGGTGACGGGTGGTGTAATCGTAATGGATGACACGACGCAATGGACGACTGTTATGAATTCCATAACAATGAGAACTCCCTGAATGACTGCAAGATCCTTCATTGCATTTAACCTGGGAGACGATCTTTAAGCAAATTAACTGAAAGGATTACCCCCTACCATCCAATTATCGCATCGTAATCGCAACGACAATTGGAATTGCTTCGTGGGCAGCTATTACTTTCACACGATGATTTAGCCTCTGACAATCAGTCTTTACCGGTTTTCAGACCTGGTTTCCTTTGTTTTCTGGACACTAATAAAGGATACTAATGAACTACAAATAATATAAATCATTCAAACAATTGAAAAGAACGATTTAGAGTATCCTACATAAGACGACTAGATTGTTGATCCGACTCAATTGATATCCGTAATCCGAGATCGTATCCTATGCAAGGGCTATGCTCTCATTTAATTTATCAATATGTGCCCTTTGCTTTTCAAAGTAACTTCTTGATTCATAAGGTTTCAGTCGTTTTAACCTCCTATACCTTTCAAAGTCGAAGATATCAAACTAGTGGACGATTGAATAATCCAAGATATAAATGTTGTCTAGGGACAACAAATGTGCACAATGATAGCCACCATTTCCATTTTAAAAACCAAAATAGGAATTAGATTTTTAAGAAGTGAGTTCGAAGATTTGATTAGGGCCTACTATACCAGGGATAATGGCAATATTTCCCATTTTGGGGACACTTGGAAAGGCACGTTAACCATAATAGTAGTATACTTGTCGAGGTAATATATATTTTGGGATGGAAGACGCATTCTTGAAATATATTGTGTCATTAAACGTCTTTATCATGTTTTTGAGACTGAATCATTTTCGTTGAAAACTAGTTGGCTAAGTATTTTCACAGATATTTCATAAATATTTCAAAACTTAAATAAATAGTTAGTCGAAATATTGAGGTGGTAAAATAGTTTTGAATGTAGTGAATCAAGTAAGATTTTCATTATTTGATTGATTCAGTATTTGAACGATAAACAGGTCAGAGTGTTATACTTAAACAAGTAGCTGATGAACTATCAGTGTTATGGAAATGGTACATTGTGTGCACACGCGAATTCCCTTGATAAGTTGCGGATCTACTTTTTATATTAAAAAATCACACGTTTGGGTTGTGATTAGTTTGCCTTTGTGCTTGCGGGTAATGCATGATGGATTTTCATCAAATGGGAAATACTGGTAATGGACCGAGATTCATAATTGAATCCTTGCATATGCGCATACGACACCTCAAATTCTATGGAAATTCTCGGAAATTAGTTAATTTCAGTTCCCGCCGGAGATATGATTTGAAGTAATATTGAAAAAACATTCATAGTATAGGATATGACTTAAGAGTGAGGTATTGTTGCATGACTAAATCTCCAATGGAAAATAAACGATATTATCATCAAACTAGATCATGATTCATGAACTTAAGCTGTCTGCCGAGAAACTTCATTCTTGATATCCAAATGTATTCTACAATTGAGGCATGAACAACTGTTCGTTATTAATTAAATGGATTTTATCAAAATGAAATGAAATAAATATCCATTTGTCATTATATAAATCATATTTTTCTGTTAATCGTTTTTGCTGCTGTTGTGCAAGAGCTAGGGAGATGGGCTCACGTTTCTTATGGTGTATCCATCATTTCAGTTTGATCCATGTCTGCGTTATGTTAAAATGCAACTTTTTATAAAAACAACACTCCGTTCGTATTTGAGTTATACACATGATACTTTATTCAGTTCAGAAAGTAATAGCGAACTATTGTTAATATTTGGAATCATGATAAGTTCCAGGCAGTGGGTCTTGAAAATAGTCGAGGGGCTCCATGAAGCTTTTGGAGTGTTCCTTCGCCTTTAACATTGCAACAGTCGTTTGGGACTCCGTGAGACTTTGTCCATGAAACTCCTTAGGACCTGATTGGACTTCATAGGACCTCTTTTGGAAAGTCTCGACCCGGTGTCAACGTTTATATAGACCGTACTAAATATGGACTTTTAGACTATATAGTCCTGGGATATATTGATTACCAATACAGAAAATATGGTCCAGTATCACAGTGGGTATATGCAGGGAGACTATATTTACTCTGACACCGGGTCCCCTGGATTCGCTCGAAAAAAGGCTATGGTTTCACGAGACTCGCTTGAAATCTGTTTTCACATAATTCTAGCTTCGAGACCCATTACTCTGGGGGCCTCAATGAGCAAAAGAAATAAGGTCCCGTGTGAAATTAAATTGGAAGAATTCATTGTGACTTATCCGTTATAAGATGCAAGCTTCGTATACCAAGAGGGTTAACTCATCAATATGGTGAACTGAATTCAACAATGTTTTTCTCTTAAACCAATTATTGAAAACATTCTGTAAAAAACACGGTCCTTTGTGTAATGTTGACTGATTGCCACCAATTTAATGCAAAAATTATTTACATATATTTTATATAACTGTTTTTGTTAACATTTTTTGTTTTTTTAGTGCAATTGTTTTTGTGCCTTTCTACCAATTCTTGAGAATGAAATAAAATGTCTTTCCGAACCTTGTTGGAACAAAATAGCATATACAGCATTTTCTTAGACCTCTCAATATTATAGTAATACGAAGGAAATTTTGATTGATTTAACAAAAAGTATGCAAAAACTTAAAAAAGACCCCCCCCCCTAAAATAGATAAAAAATTAAGATAACCCTTTTATTTCAATAACAAGATACTTTTTTAAAATCAACCAAACGTAACTTTGTACAATTACAATACTGAAAGACCTAAACACGTTGTTCCAATGAGGTTCGGATAGATGTTTCATTTCATTCCAAACATATGATACCAAGAACGAAAGAAGTGTCTGATGTGTTTTCTAAAACAATATAGAGAAAAGTAAATACACAAAGTGACCTCATAAAATGATATGAAATAAAGTTTGTACAGGGTGACCCAAAAAGGAACCCTCTAAAAATATCTGTCCTACCAATGCTTTATATGCATAAACTAGATAGAATCTATGGATAATATGATATTAAGGTTGTTGCATAAAATTGATTATCCTAAACTTAGTGTACTAAATGTATAATAACATTAAAAAATAAATTTGATATTTATTGGCAAAGTGAATAACCGGAGGATATCGTAACGATATACTCCGGGCGGAGGATATCATGACGATATACTCCGGAAAACCCAATATGCGGAGGATATTGTGACGATATACTCCGCTTGTTGATTTCCCGCCAAATTGACTCTATTTGGCATGAAATTCATTTTGCAATGATATTATACATTTAGTACACTTCTTGTAAGTGTAGGATAATAAGAACATCCTATGATTTTTTTCAGAATATCATTTTAATCTGCTCGGTGATATTGATATATCCACTCGTTCGCTTTGCTCTCTCGTGCAGATATCAATATCACCTCGTAGATAAAAATGATATTCCTCAAAATCATAGGATATCCTATAATTATTTGTGATATCATGGATCATGTAAGATTGTGTCCAATCATCGGGAAATCAAAATTGAGACAAAATTATATCTTGAGGTCGGAAATTCAAAAGGAAATTGCAAGGAAGACGTGAAATTAATGTCTCATTTAATATTCTAATTAAAATTTGAAGAATAGGCAATGGCAAAACAACACCTAACAAAAAATCAAATGACTGAAATTCCTGGCATCTGAGCACTGAACACCTCAAACGCTGCGCAAATTCCATTGGATGAATTCTCAAGAAACCATAAGACAGGAGAATGATCAGTCAAGACCATTGCATGACATGTGATACACCTGAAAACACCGTGTGAGATTGCATTGAACGTATTTTCAAAATATCACTCAGAACGTGCAGTCATACCTAAAGATGCCTTTACAAAATGCAGCTTGACAAGAAGTAAAAAGAATACGATGGGTTCAAAACAAACAAAGTGTGACCCTTTGGATGACACGAAAATCTAACATTTTCTTTTTTTCAAAAGTTGGCACTTTTCTCATTGGCCATTGCAAGAAGAATATTGACTGTTATGTAAAGAAATTGGTCTCATATCGTCATCCATAGATTGCAGTTTCTGTACATTGATGAAAAATGAAGCTGATTAATAGTTATTAAAGAAATTATTCCAGTTTTGGAGGGTTCTGAATCGGGTCATCCTGTATATATGATTGTGCGTATCATTAAAAATGTTTTCAGTTGATTTACTTGTTCAAGGCATACAGTATCACTACTTCCATCTATTTATCATAAGCAGTAAGTCATCTACAAATACAAATGAAGAAATCGTGGTCTCGGGTATACTGTATATACTCTGGTATATACTGTTACAATGCAACCAGAACCGAGCCATGGCGGAAGAGTTTAGACCCAGGAGTTTAGATACCACTGTATCCACTTGAAACATTTGTTATTCCTCAAATCCGAAAAATCCTGAAAATCAGAAACTGAGGGTTGTCATCACCTGATCACAGGGCTTCAAAATCCAGAATATACATGTATTCTTGGATTCTGGATACCTGCTTAGGAGGATGAGGGTTGTAGATTTCATATTTTCTGTAAAAACTGAATATTCTGTGTACAGTTTCTACACATATTGATAAAAACAGAAATCAGGGCCATTTCTGGACATGAATGCATTTAAATGACAAGATATGATAAATGGCATACTCTCCTTCGACTGGCAGCTCCACCATTTCTCGTCACGTGCATCGTTCCTGTCTACTCTTGGTTCAGACATAGACATGATTCAAATATCTGTTGATCACAATATCCAAGTGATGCTTACCAACCCTTCGATATAATTGTAAACGAAGGGGCACATGTGGGAAGTTCACAAAGTTACTGTATTTAGACACAGTAGGAAGAATTAAAGAGGAATTAAAGAGGAAACACTGTAAAGTGTTGGAAGCAATATTTTAAAAAATTATGCCAATCCTTGTCTTACAATCCTAATTTTTTTGTATAAAGAATAGAGATATCTGATCTGATATTGAAAACTCCAAATTTATTAGACTTGAATAAAGGTTATGTCGCCTCATATAATCTATTATCTACAATCCCTTAGAAATCAAAGGCTTGTCCAGAAATATAAAGCAAAACAATGAATTGTCAAATTGTGACGATTTCCTTTCAAAAAACCCATTTCTATTCCTTCTAGTGTTTTTCAACGGCAGCACGCCCGCCATTATCTGATGTACTCGTGAACAAATGAACGAAAATATCTTATAATATTCCATTAGCATTGTAACTGTCTTTAGTTGTACACACAGAATCCACACCCCGGGAATCCAAAAGAAGATATTTAATAATGATGTCAAAAAATTAATTAATTGTATGAATAGTATAACTTATAGTCAATTAATGATTGCAGACATGTATCAAATTGTTTATTTTAATTGAATATTAAATACTCCATGTTTTAAAATATTGTTGTTGTTTTGGTTTTTCTTAATAGTCGTGGTTCGATTTGTTTAACGTGTTTTAAATAACAAACTTTGTTTTTTATTTGTTTGGGCGATCAACTGCTTAATTGCATTAATTTGGGTAATAAGGAAGACATAGAATTATAAAGAGCAATAACAAAATGGAATTAAAACAACAGTATTTGTGGGTGGCATCGCGGGGTACTTTGAATATTTTGTATGGTTAACATATTGCCAACTACACTGTGAACTAGAGCGAAGCTACTGATACAGACCATGATTTCTCATGATACTGAGACCGTGATGCTCCAAGTGTGATATTGCAGTTGTTTTAATTTCTACTGTGGTTCTCATCGCGCTTTGCCCTAATTTGAAAAAACAACATTATTATGCCATCATGACATCTCATTTCTTCTCAGCCCTGAGATGGTGAAACAGAAAGATGCCATGAGTACCAGAATGTTATTATGCTATTTGACAGTATATTCAACTCTAAATGTTTTATGAATTGTCTGCTAAGTGCAGCCTAAATATCCCCCACCCCCTCCACCTTGACAATTTTCATTTCAAGCCCCGCAGAAGACAGAACGAGCTAAATTATCATTTGACATCTTTTTTGCGATTAAAGCGACACTGTTCATATATAATATGAAGACCCCGATGAAGACATGACAAAAAATGGTATTACGGTAAATATTGGTAGAGATTAAAAGGTGGATTGGATCGAGTGGATTGGATTCATGTAAAAGGTGGATTGGATCGGTAATCTTCAAAATGTGGAATTTCTTATAAAAAAAATTCCGTTGATCTCCCACTAAACAATTTCCCTCTACAGTATTACAGGTCCTTTTGAGAAATCAGAACAAAGCAATGACAAATACATACTCCAATTAGTTCATGGACACTCTTAAGTATTTAACCGCTTTCCCTTGTAAATCAACTTTTGTAAGACATAGATCTTTAGAAAAAGAAAACCTGTCATTCAAATTGATGTGTGAATGTTCACAAAACATTTTTGGTATGTTCAGTTTGGATTGAAAACAGATGATATGGATCTTCAAACCAGTCTGCCTTATGATTTATGAAATGTCTCAAATTACACTTGGAATGAATAAGATTGTGTATCAGAAGGCGGGTACCAGGTCATCCTCCTAGCCCACCCAAGCAAAATAATATTACATCTATTATTTGACATTGTGCAAGTGAAGAGAGCACTAATCTTCCTAAAGGGAGATCAATAGAATTTTTTAAAGGAAAAACCATATTTTGAAGATAGCCAATCCAATCCACCTTTTACATGAATCCAATCCACTCGATCCAATCCACCTTTTAATCTTTACCTAAATATTAGTCCCGGGGGAGTTCCTTTCTCTATGTCAAGACAGAGACACAGCATTTAAAAATGTGATCAAATATCAGTCCCTACCCTTTGTATTCGTTCGACTTCGCTTCTTTAAAGAGAGCTTCGTCTTCAGGTAGTTTCGACTGCGTGCAGGGTAATCAGTATTACATTGAACATAAATTTCATTTTTCATTAAATTATTGAATGATAGAGGTCAGTCTAATTCGCTATCTTGAGTCACTTCCACTTCCTATCTCAGTTGTAAACAAGTATATCCCTACGCGCTAATTGACAAGAATATAATCCAGATTTGAAACAATTGACATCATTGATTTGATATATTGTCGTGGCGTTTAATGAGCACACAATGTACATTTGATTATATTCTTTGTATTGGTTGATATGAATATCTTCTGAATGATCACGTAACTGATGTTATACTAGCGGATTAATATTCATTAAGGAAAGTAGTTCGTCGTGAGAAATACAAGTAAAGACAACACAAAATTTTTCGTGTCATTGTTGGATTTATTACACCGATCTGGACTAACACAGTGTATCATTGGACATAAGAGTATAATGTATACTCAATACTTTATCTTGGTGCTCTGTTTATTATTATTAGGTGGCTCCAATTCAGCAAAATCGGTAAGTTTTTACAACTTTGAAACTTTTATATTTCAAGATGGCTGCCCATAATATTGCATGTGAAAACTTTCTTTGTAATTCGTGTTCATTCTTCTCAAATCAAGCATTTATACGCGCTGTTGTACTTGGATTATCTACCCAAAACATCATCAACTTTCTATAATGAAATTCATCTTGGATTTGAATCCTTACTTTGTGTTCATCTCCATACAGTACTCGAATTTTAGGGTCTTGGTGATAGTAAAAGGAAGTGATTGTAGGATATCCATTGCTATTTGGATAATTGGTTTCACAACCTTGTTTCAGAATTATGTGAACATATCAGTGATCAGGAAATAAGTGATACAAAAAAAAAATTGGTCAATAAGGCCAAAAAAACAAATGTGTGTCATCTTCTTAGTCAAAATCAAAATTTGAGTAACAACTCTGAATCTAAAAAATAACAATATGTGGAAAAAACACATGTACCTGAATAACTTTTGTATATTTTGGTTTGTTTTGTAGTTTAGCTTTCATTGGCCTTTATTATTTTGATGTTTTTCTGAAACTCCCTAAATTACAAAAGGCCAAAACTTCACTGTACATTATGTATAACTATTTGACTTTTACAAAAGGTACATATGTTTTTGTTTTTCCAAATAATGTTGCAATTTGGTCCTTCCTTCGTTTTAGATTCAAAGTTGCTACTAAACTTTTGACTGTAGAAGACTGAAATAGATTGGGCTGACAAATGTTGCATATAGTGATACACAAATTCTCTTCAATGTATTTTTGGGTTTAGCGTTGATGAGAGTACATATAATATTTGACAGTATCAAGCTATTTGTTCAATCTTCCATAACCCTCATCAATGTGGCCTTTAGGTTGCTGTTAAACTTTAGAGATCGCAAACATAATTTTATAGAATCAGCTATAGCAAATAATCACCGTCAAAATTTATTTTGGTCAGACAGATCAGCTGTGGTTGTCATCCAGAAAAATCTCCTTGATATCTTGTTTAGTTTATTAGAAGCCACTAACAAACTATATGCTTGATGTGACACTTGGCTACATATGAATCAAATTCTCTAAATATTTTTTTCGATTATGAAGCCATTTATATATGTATGACATTGTACTAAAGAACACAGGGGTTCCTCTTGAGTACCAGAACGATGACAAATGTCATCTGCACTCTAACACTGATTAGACCTCACACAAAGGTCCCTTATTGAGATATTCACATAATAACAAACATCTGACTAAGACTGAAAACAATTTGATTTTGTAAAATATAAAAAAATATTATTTTGCTTCAAAGGTGACATAGTTCTGCATATATACTATAAATGAAAGAGCCAAGTGGAATGTAACCTTTCTTATTGTATTTATTCATGCTGGCTCTCGTATAGAACCACTGGTATGAAAACTTGGTATGGCGGATATATGGACAAAGAGATCATGAATGAATACAATACAAAGTCTGTAACTAGCAATGGGATCACGCCACTTTTACAGAATACAAAGTTATGATAAATACAATAAATCTATAGAGTTTTGAAAATATTGACATGTTCATTATACCCACTGCCACGATTAAGTTACATCATGGTTTCACTGCTATTGAAGACTTCCGTCCCATAAGGAGTGTTTTTAATATTTAATTTATTATTTGAAGTATTTTAGATAATTTCATGTACAGTATATATGTATATGAATGGTCATATCAGTTTGAAACATTTAGTGTAGATATTTCATCTTGACTCGTAGGGACTCAGTTATTTAATGTTTGGGAGACAGATACTGACACTGAATCCCTTTCTTCCCCCTTATTTGATGACTTCATATCACATCCTTACTTGTTTATTTAATCCTCAAAAGTGATCACTATCATATTTTACAAGAATTTCAAAATGATTCACCATTGAGCAATATAGTTCCTTATCTGCACTTCCACTTTGCTAACAATTATTTAACTTGAAGTCGTCAACATTCCTCTACCTGACCTGTGTACTTTAGAATTGATAGTTCCTCTTATACCTTACAGTACAGGTATTTTGCCAAAATAATACGTCAGTGAGATTTCCGATATGGTTAAATGTCAGTTTTCATGTTTCAACTCCAGGACAACCCGCTTAATAGAAACCATCCCTTTTATTGTGGAATGCGTTCACTCTCCATGTGGCCTGCATATGTATGTTTGTTTACTTTATGTGGCTGCAAACTTAGATTTGATTTATTAGGTTTTTTTTGTGTTCAGTATATGTATTTTATTTTATATAAGATGCCACTTGACTGTCACTTACCCCCCCCCCCTCTTTGTTTTGTATTATTTGTTAAATATGGGATTGTTCAATATGTTATAGACACTATATGATGTCTGCTGATTTCTTCTGTAAAGGCAATAATAAGAAATCTTAACAAGCAGAATCTACTCCTAATGGCTTTCTCTCACATGATATTGGTTTCGTTCATGATGCGGAAAGTACCTTTTAAACAAAGTGTGTGACATTTGAGATTTATGTCACTCAAGCAATGCTTTTTAACTGTTTTTTAAGAAGCCAGTAGAAGTGTCAGGCACTATTGACAGAATGTTATATTTAACTAAAAGTTTGAATTATCTAGTACACGGTGATAGAAAATTATATTCTAAAGATGATATTAGAAAATATAAATCTTGGATACTCAGTCTCCAACTTTTTTATGTCACCACCAAAAAGTGGTGACATATTGTTGTGGTGTCCATTTTTTGTGGCAGCGGTTGGCATCTGTAACAAATTCTCAAAACTTGCAATAACTTAACAAATACTGTTTACATTACTTTACATTAAGATTTCATCTTCAATGACCTTCTCAGGTTCAAAAAAGGTCTTATTTCAACCTGCTTCAAATTGACTAATTTTTTTTCAAAATCATCTACACGTTCTCAGAAATTCAATATCATGTGCAACTAGGTAGTGACATTTTAATGCCTTGTTGTGGATGGTGTTCAGTATGCGGCAGTTGGTGTTCAACATCTGTAACAAATGGCTGGTGATGACATTTTGCATATTGATGCCTTGTTAATATTTTATTCTAATGTGAACCAAATATGACCAGTAACTGACTAAAAAGGGTAAGGAGAATGATGACCTCATTCATTAGAAAATTCTAAATCTTACATATCGCCTTAGGAACCTTTTCCTCTTAGGTAATAACTTACTAGATCACCTTGTCCCTGATTTATGATAGTGATTACATATACATTGAGACATGAATTCTTGATTCGCCAAGTAATGAAATCTATCATTACGTAAAGGGAGTATTATTTCAATCCAAGGAATGGCCTATTGAATCATAATCAAATCACTAGCAACCAGACAAACTATTAATTGTAGCAATCCAAGTTAATTCCTACCAATGTAACTCTCGAGTTTGATTCTTGTTTGCAGTTGATAATGTTGCCTGGAAGTAATCTGTCTATCTATAAGATGCATGCAAAGCATTTCATTACTGAGACCATCTGCTTCAAAAATCAGCTCAATTTTTGTTGTTGAACTTGAAATAATTGTTAATGATGAATTCAGGATTGCTATTTTAGTATATATTATCCAGTGTTTGAGTCATTTCTCATTCGTATTTCTCCCTGAGTGGCTATAAAAGTCTTGTTCCCCCAAGAAAGTAACTGTCTTTTACCTTAAATAATTGACCATCTTGTATGATGGAATGAGATCAGTGGGACCTTATATCAAGTATTGGTTTGGTAAGTATTACAATGGACTATCTCAGTTCCAAGAATATACCATGTCTATATTGATTTTATTTGTCGTAAGATGTTAAAAAGGACATCATTGCTCCTGGATAGCACATGCCAAGAAAATAATTGAAATGAAGGTAGATGAAGTACAGGACTTTAAGTTAATGCCACTTTGCATTGCAAATGTTGAACTAAGGATGGAGATCTTGTCTATCAATTTTGCATTTTTTTTGCACTTTGCCAAAATTCAAAACTGCTCCCTCTTTCACTCCCCAAAAATATCATGTATTGCATGTGCAATATTGACATGCTATTTTTTATTTTTTCCTTTATAGCGAGACAGGGACAATGGATGGGAAAAAAGTAACACAATGTCCAGGGAGAAGGGAGAGCACCATAAAGAAGTGAAAAAACAAGAAATTTGGATTGATGATGAGGTATGGCAATTTAACAATGGCATCTTATATGGATTTCTTCAATCATACCTTATGGTTTATTACTACAGTAGATATACAGTCATCCTTATACTTTCCTATTTTGACAATTTTAAATCTAAAAAATAATGATTGAAGGACTACATTACAAGGAAATAGACAATATACATACCTTAATGTGACTTTTGTATATTTTGATGTTTTTCTGCCATGTTATTCTTTCAAAATTAACATGGCTGAAGTATTACCTAACTATCTGAAATATATACAAAAGTTAGGGGGGGATATATACAATGTATGCTTCTATTCTATATTTTGATGTTTTTCTGCCATGTTATTCTTTCAAAATTAACATGGCTGAAGTATTACCTAACTATCTGAAATATATACAAAAGTTAGGGGGGGGATATATACAATGTATGCTTCTATTCTTCCATATGCTGTTGCAATGTGGTCTTTAGATTGCTTATTTTTGGATCCAGAATTGTGAGGAAGACTGTGTTCATTTATGAGATAGAACAGTGAGGCTTTAGTATTGTGCTTAGGCTTATCACTGTTATGACCTGCTATAAATCCACAGTATAGTCTTGCATCAAGTTCCCTAACTGTATATTTTTTCTCAAGAAAGTGAGGATATGTGGAAGAGGATATAGGGGGTTGATGCAAGTTTATTTGTACAAATATCAAGTATTAAAATGATTACATGAACTTGTTTATCATTTTTTATTTCCTTTAGGTTTTAAAACCTTGTTTTTCTTGTTTAGCAGGATATCACGTAGGTTCAATAGTCCTTGACAGGGTACACAAGTAGATATACCTCATTTTTTATTTTATACAGCCTCTGAATTACTGTTTCATCCCATGTATGAATTGTTGCATTTGTTTCAATTCTATCAACATCAAAACTGTTGGTGATTTTTAAAATTGGATAAAAGTAATGTTGGCATTGGGGTACTGAAATACTATATAATTTAGGCTTACACATAAGTTAATGAAAATAGATGCATATCCACATTGAATCAATCTTAGCCAATCCTAATTTTCTGGATGTCTGTTTTATGATTAAATTCCATAAAACAGCCAATGATTAGGTGCAGCATAGCTCCTATTTTCAATCACAATTTTCGAGGTTAGAATATTTGTTCTACTCGGCTAACTGCATAAGGTGGTGGTCATGGTGATTAATGAGAAAATGCAATCATACCCTTGAACAAAATACCAAGAGGTTTCCATGATACATTGAATTCACCAGAAGATGATGGATTAACTAAAGAATTGTATATATTAAATCATTCTTGTATTAGCTATGGGAGTATTTGATACTTGGTTTATGATAAGAACTGGGAGTGCTTGAAGAGTCTGAAGTTAGAAAAACATAATACCAAGAAAGTATAGTATCATGGGGAGATCACTGCTAATGCATGCTCAAAATGTCTGAATATCAGATACTTTATTCACTTTTTAAGAGAAAGTGAACCTGATGTTTATCTAAGGATGTGAGGCCATTGAGATCATAGATTGTACTGCGTTGTGCAGTGGTTTGTTCTGACCATGCACTGACTCATTTATATTTTAGCCTATAAGCTGCTGTGATTTGTCATCTTGCCTCATTTAAATTAATAACAGTTGAATACCTCTGGGAGAACACCATCCATCATGGTACATGTTTCAGTTGTAAATTCGCCCAATCGATACAGCATACATACATATATATATAGAGAGAATAAAACCTATGCTTGTGTTGTAAGGTTTTTGCTTGCCTATTGAGTAACGATATTACAGAATTGTTCTATTGTCTCCTGACGGAGCCTTCCTTGGGGACCAGACTTATCAAATTCTGGCTATGGTTTATTTCCTGACATATACAAGATTACCCTTTATATCTCTATTAGTCATACTACCCTCTTACTGTTATAGATGATTTCTGGGTCAACAGTCTTAATCATCTCAAATGAATGAAGTACATCTAATTTATTTGAGTTTTTATGTTACAAGTAAAATGTTAGCATTAAATGTTTCTGGAAATGGAGTCTGATTGGATAGAAGCTAAATTGAATGAGTATATTGGAGAGTATATGCAAAGCTAAATTCTTGTAAAGGGTATAATGGATCACTCTCTCTTATTGTCAGGTACAGCTCTGTTACAGTTTATATACCATCAATAATATAGTGAATGCCCCTTGTGGAATAGCTGATCTCATTATTGCATTAAATGACTCATGTTAACAGACTACTTGATAATATTAGCCACAATAGGCAAATTGGAACAAAACTGAAAGATAAGGTGGTTATGAAACTACATCTAATAATGATAGTCTGGGTGTTAAATAGTCTGGGTGTTAGGTGAATCAATTTCCTAATAGAACAAACTCTAAATAGGGAAATGAGACAAGACATTATTTTGTACTGTGCCAAATGGTGTATTATCTCTTGAAGCCAAAGGTATTTGGTATGTACAGATATATAATAGGATGTGATCTGTAGTTTTAACTCAATCATAACATAGAGGATTGGCAAGTTAAGTATTGAATAAGCATTGCTGCAAATTGATTAAATATACTAGATGTTTTAAGATGAATTACCATGGAGATATTTAGATCATTTACTCAAATGTTTGGGATTTTGAGGAATATTATAATACAACACTGACAGTCTGAGCCCATGTTGTATCAAATCTCAATCTTTTGTTACCTTGTCACATTGTCAAATACAAGGTCCAAGTCCGATGTTTTGAGATCTTCGAATCAGCTGTGTCTACTTCTGTCTGATATATACTGATTGATCAGGAAGTCCACAACTTTAAGTACTTACCCTGAGGTCATTAACTGGAATACTTCCCTCTGAGGTAGAGTAGTCACTTAACAGTTTTGTATTCCACCTATCATAAAGTACAGCAGAGCCTATCTTAAATGAATAACATATATGAATATCTGTCATTGATGGATATCAGACTCTTTCCAATGGTTCGAAACTGTTATCGTTAGAGTGTAAGAACATGTATGAAAGGGTAATATTGTTATGTTAGATGTCAAGTCGAGGACTTTGTTTATGTTGATTTGCATAGGCCATCATTATCTATGTGATAGGTAACTTAGAATGTTTCAAGTGAATATTAAGCTAATACTGAACAAGCTGCCATATCTTGTACTGTGTAGCATTAAGGGTCAGATCAAAAAGTAAACATTCTTGGTTATGAATGAAATTTATAATGGCATTACATTCTGAAAATGATGGTTACCCCAATACCCCTAGCAGATATAATTCATTAAATCATAACTCATGTACTGGGAATTATTATTTTTATCCAACAACTGAAGTAGTTCTGAAAATGATGGTTACCCCCTCGCAGATTAATTCATTAAATCATAACTCATTTGCTAGGCATCATTGTTTTTGTCCAACCCCTGAGGTAATTCTGAAAATGATGGTTACCCCCTAGCAGATATAATTCATTAAATCATAACTCATTTGCTGGGCATCATTGTTTTTATCCAACCCTTGAGGTAGTTCTGGAGTGTTGTCTTGTGTTAGAGAATTGCAATAGCAGATAATCATGACTTCTAAACCACTCATTTGATTTAATACAGGGGTCTGGCATTTGTTTCACTTGCTCTAATGTAATATCCTGAGCTATGTAGGTCTTGTTTGAATCTTAAGGTTTCATGTCTTGCTTTCGTCTAATTTGTTATTTTTCACTGAAGAAAATACCATGTTATATAATACTGCAGGCCTGTTGCAAGCTTTTTCCAAGGGGGTTCACTTTTAGAAAAAATCCAGGAGGCTTCATATTTATATTTATTTGACTTTGGTCCACAGTTATTTGAAAAGTGCTCAGATTAGAAAACTGCATGGTTTTGAAAGAAATTTTGGATAGGGGTACTGGTTTTCAGTAACATTATGAACCTGTATACTCCATTTTTGAATTTTTTAAACATTAATACCCTGATTGTTAATTTACCAGAGACCTGGGGAATTGAGATATGAAAATATAATAGTAAATTTAAATGCAATTAATACAATTCACATTACCATAAATTGAGGGTCTCATTAGTTTTTATCCATGTATAATTGAGCCAGCCACTAAGGGAAATAGCTAATATAGTTTGCTTTTTTGCTTCACACTATTATGAAATGTGATTCCTCTTGAGGTACAGTATTATAGCAGGGAACCGGATGATTGCAATTGATGCCTTACCATAAGCATCAACTATTCATTGATTTCCTATCAGGTTGCTCATCATTACGATCCATGATCTATGCCCGGTTTATAGATTTGGGGAATGAGGCTGAAAATGAGACTGTTGCATCATGGAATTGTTTGTTATGATTGATTAATTGGTGTAACGTGGCAGGAAAAACAGTGAATTATTCACTTTTTATTGTTCGATATGATGACTCATAGGAAGAATTACCCAGGCAACCATGACTCACAGAAGGAACTACCCTGGTTTCCAAGGTAGCATATGCCGATTCACCTTTTGCTGCAAGCTCTTACTTATATTGCTACAGAATTTGACATGAAATTTTATATAATCGCATGTCTTAAAGATGTGTGTGTATAATTTTGAATTCTCATTTTTCAATGCAGATTTATGAGACAGTCTTTTAATTCTAAGCTTCTCATTATTTTCTCTGGATATGGTGAGAGACAGTACTTTATGGTACAATGTATTTACAAAGAAATGAGTTAGTTCTTTAGGGAGTTCATATAAACTTCCAATAGAAATTAATAAAACTAATCCTGTCTGTCCAGAACTTCTCCACACTGAACTTTCAATAATGTTAACATAGTGATTGAGTCTTGGCTGGTCTTTTATACAGAGAATATCAACAGTGAATTCTTGCTATGGCTGCAACATTATATAGGATACAATTTTGATATACTGGTTGCTATAGTGATTTGAGAGTGCCCTTTAGGTTCAGTACCTTTTGAAAGACATTTTAGCACATAAATGAAAAACATTTGTGATATTTTAAGTCACTGTGAATCTGTAATTTTGTAAAAGCTTTCTAGTTGATAGAAAGTGAAACTACAATAGTCAGAGGATATTGAACTAGTGGTTTGCTCAGGGTAAAAAATTGTAGCAATGTGATTTAGATACATGTACTGAAATAGAGCTGATACGTTGTTACACAATGTATTGGTTAAAAGAGTGCAAGAAAAATAACAAGATTAGGGCCACTTAAAGTGTTAGAAATGAGAATCCAGCTGGTACTTTACTGATTAGTACCAAAAAACAAGAACTCAACATTCAGCACGTCCAAACTCTTACATTCTGGTCATATTCTGGGTCATGGTTGTTTCTATCATTTCCTCTGTAAAGAACAAAGACATAAAAGATATTTAAAGTATTCATTTAAACATGAACATGTTGTTATAATTGAATCATATTTTTGTACTTATCTCAATAAAGAAATTGTTTTTCCATTTTGCAGGATGGAATGCATTACCATTTTCCTTGAGTGAATAGTCCTTCTAGTTATCTAAGTATCCTTCATTGATCTCTTAATTCTTTTCTTCAGAAAGTAACTAAGAGACCCCGATGGTCTTTCCTCTACAGGCTCAGCTATTATGAATCTTCAAGTAGCGGTGATGATGGTAAAACAATAACATTGAAAATGCATCAACTAGAACCTCATCATACCTGGAGGGTTCAATTTTGTTTTCATATACACACAGACAATGTCATACATGTTATTATGAAAGACCCCTCACTACTTTTGTATACGATAAGAATAACCCCAAACCTTATTTTATTTATATTGCTGGTAAATGAATTCAACAATGTTACTTTCAGTTTTTGAAGGTTTGATCATTTTTTCGTATCACTTAAATAAGTCTTATCCTGAAAAGAAATTTATTTTTTAACTGAGAGCCCTTAAAAAACGTGTTTCTCTTCACTTTTATATTTAATTGGCACACTTTAGTTGAGATATTTGATGAGTGAATCCTCTAGGGTGAAGGCCATACATATGATAAGCTTCTAGTGGTGCATTTAAATGTGACTTAATTTTGTTTTTTATTCATTTCTCCATTACATATTTCTAGATTAAGATGGAATGCAGCTGTTAAGGGAATGACTAAATACACTAAAAAGTGTATTGAGATCATTTCTTTTAATCGTTATTGTATCATTTTTGAATATGTTTCCAGTATGTTGATTTATTTTCAGGCATGCCATATTTGTTTATTTTTTGTTTCTGTTAGGTATTTTCCCATGTAACTAGATGCTGAAAATATGTAATTTTGGCAGAAAGTGATTTCCACTTTTGCCTCTTGGGCAACTTCATTTATTGACGCAGCAGAAGTTAGGATTTTATTAGATTTGGCCGAAACACAACTACTGTAGAGAGATCTGTTTTATACCTCCCAAGACTCCGTATCAAAATCAGTAAATCTGGAATCCAGCTCATCTAAAAATAAGTTCATAGTACTAAGTTATCTAGTTTCTTATCTCATTTATGAGTTATAATCATTGATTTTGGAAGTATAGGAAACAGAAATGGGGTTTACCACTTAGCTTGGTATTTGAATGCAGCTAATTCTATGAATGTCCTTGATGCAAATGAAATATTTGATTCGTAGAAACAAGGTTGTATTAAGCTTCATTATTAATCATTATCATTGTGATTTATTCATGTTTTCATCCCTAGCTTTTTATTATGAATTTCGCCAAGTTAAGCCCATTCATAAGGCATGACCCACCACTGCATGTTGTTGTGTTTATTTGCAATATTTAAGCATTATGTTCTGTTGGTTAGGATGAGGGAAGTGGGCCAGATGATAGAGTAGATCCTACCACAGATGACGAGGACATGTGGGATGAAGATGGTCCTTCAGGTCATGGTATGAATGATGATGAAGAAGGAGATATGGGCTCAGGAAAAGGTATGCAGTTATATGATATTTTGTTGTCTATATGTAATACAGTATGATATCCTCTTCTGGTGGTGTTTTCTGAAATAATTATGCTAATTACAAGCTAGGTTTAGTGTGTCACCACATGTATCTCTCACAGTATCAATATCATAGGTAGCATCCACGTGATCAAAGGCGCATGCTATGATGCCTATATCAGTGGCTGTTTTTTACTTCAAAATGTGCCAATTTCTCATTTTCAAGTGAGAACAAATTAGTTTTCAAGTGGCTGTAACCCAATTTTCAAAACCTCAAGTAGACCCAGCATCCACTTTTTAATGCCATGGAGATCACTACTATATTTATTCTGTATTGCCAAATTCTGATACTGTCAGACTGAGCACATAGTATAATAGCTACAATGAGGGCTGTACCATGTGTTATTCTGTTCACTTATTTTGTATTGTCAGATCGTGGTAGTACTATCCGGTGTGGCATACCATCGTTACTTGATCCATGGCTGAAAGAATACACCGGTTTAACAGTATGGTAGCATACAGTATGATGCGTATAGCAGGCCTTTGACCTATCATGGATTCTACCTATGTATTTTCTGTGAAGAACATCGTAATGATTATATGGAAATTATACACGGAATTATTGATCAAGTCAAGTCTTAGATGGATCATGTCAAATGATATGACACATCATGAAAACTTGTTGCTAAATTTATCAGAATGGGAACAAGATGATACCGTGCTAATTAGTGTTATAAACTAGGGAGATAATGTCAATTACACCCCTGGGAAGAAAAGTTCTTGGTTTACACCTAGCTAGATCACACCTAGGTGTATACCAGGGCTGGATATATCTCCCTAGATAAATGCTTACGCTGGATTTAGAATCATAGGATAATAATTGTTGTATTCATGGGAAGGCATTCTACAGTTCCACATCTGTTATTGAAGATTTTGTAGTGAAAAATCAGTGGTCAGGCAATCAATCAGTGGTCAGAGATAATCAATCGGAAGTCTGAAATTTAATCATCGTTCATATCAAATTCAATAGATGAATTCTGTCTTTCTTTGGGAAATATTTTCTGCTTTAACTTTCTCGTTATTTTTGGCCCAAATGTAAGAGCTTCACTTCTTACATGTACATGAACATGATGACTTTCAAAAATGAAAAACAAACATTTTATCATTCTTAACACTATGATCAATTAGTCAAGTCTGCTAAGCTCTCAAAGTCTGCAAATCTTCTTTAACATTTGTGGAAGATATAATGTGCATGAATCTTATAGTACTTTTATGTGTACAATTTGTGTGATGGGGAAAACATCAAAGGTATCACCATGCTTTACACCAAGATGCTCTCCCAGTTAGGTTAAGATATTCACTTTGAACTAAAGAGTCGGTTTAATACATGGGATTAGAAACCTTTTAAAGGCTTCATATTGGTTACATACAATGGTATCAGAGTTAGGGAAATTCCAGAAAGAAGACCATCTTATCAATATATTTATCTATTCCGGGTCAAGAATAAACGGATTCAAAAAAGATAAGTCTGAAGCTTTGAGAATAACAGCATTTTCAGCAGATGGGAACGTCTCCTGATATTGAAGCATCTGTAATGTAGACATCTCTTTGTTATATTTTCTATCATATTCTCCACTTTAATATGAGATATCAAATGACAATATCACATCTCAACTTTGAAAGACCTCTTGTATATTATATACAATATAAGATATTGAGTTTTAGCATTGTAGCCTGGAGTTTTAGCATTGTAGCCTGGAAATCAAACTTTGATCGGCTCGTCTCAAGAAATATCAGGTTCTCGGTTTATTAATGTGAGTATAATTATGACTAAAACCAGCTAAGCAAACCTCAGATATCAGATTATATGAATTATTGGAAAAGATCTAAGTTGCGGCTCTGTGTTTAGATTGGAATGTCTACACAGTGTTGTTACAAATGATATATTATGAAATAGTACCTCATACCCAATACCAATATACAACTTGGAATTAATAGAAACATACTAACATGGAGTCCTATGAAATGTCATATTGCAACTGGAAGAGTCGGCTAGCTCTTATGTTCCAGAAATGTTAAGTTTCAAGCAGTATATCTTGATATACACTATATAGGATACTCTATAGAGAGCAATAGAAATTTAATTATTTATATTATATCCTTTTCTGAACGTGTTTACTCTGTTATTGGTTCAGTTAAAACACCTTACTGATAAAAAGCCTATGTTGCGCACACCTTACCAGCAAACATCTCTTGTAAATACCTTACCAGCGAACATCTCTTGTAAATACCTTACCAGCAAACATCTCTTGTAAATACCTTACCAGCGAACATCTCTTGTAAATACCTTACCAGCAAATATCTCTTGTAAATACCTTACAAGCAAACATCTCTTGTAAATACCTTACAAGCAAACATCTCTTGTTAATACCTTACCAGCGAACATCTCTTGTAAATATCTTACCAGCAAACAACTCTTGTAAATACCTTACCAGCAAACATCTCTTGTAAATACCTTACCAGCGAACATCTCTTGTAAATACCTTACCAGCGAACATCTCTTGTAAATACCTTACCAGCAAACATCTCTTGTAAATACCTTACCAGCAAACATCTCTTGTAATACCCTGCATGCAGAGTCTAGTTAAACTACACTCTGCCTAGTAGAGACCATATTACAGTTTAGTAGCTTATCCCCCACGACGGGTACCGGTGACAGTTTGGGTAAAATTGACATACGCGCTGACCTTTCTTCCACCAATCAGCGAGCTTGATGAAACATACGCCAAATGCGTTCTAATTAAATATGCGCGTGTCATTGGTCAATTCCGGGCTCAAGGATGACGTCAGAAGGAATGACCATATATAGAACGTCGGTCAAATTTGGCCGACGAACACTGATCAGTGCGGTGAGTTCACAGGTTTATTTTAGTTTGAAAGAGTGAAGACGAAGCTCTCTTTGAAGAAGTGAAGTCAAACGAATGCAAAGGGTACTCTTGTAAATACTTTACCAGCAAACATCTCTCATTTCATTAAATGATATGTACCAGATGCACAAATATTACTCAAAGAGAATCATATTAAAAACAAAATTATATGTTATTACTGATCCAATTGTGTCACAAGACAATTTTTAAAGGCTCTACTGAATGCACATGTAGTTTGATGTACCCATTCATTCTCTGTTGATCTGAATACCAGGTGAAACTAAATGTTGATTTCAACTTTCATTTATCTATCGCCATATATCATACTGACGTTTATATTAAGCTTCTCTGTGTACTTTGGTTTTAATAAGTGCTCATGTTTTTACTTTAACCTAAAACTAAAAGGTTCTTAGTTTTGCATTTAATTATGAAAAATCAGAGAGAGAAAATGATAAAAACAGAAAATGTAAATGTTATTAGAACATGCTTATGATTCTAAATCATTCAGGAAACAGGAAATAGTTTTCTTAAAATTTTTGAAAGCAAATGGATATAAATAAAACATTTCCTATAATGGCATTTTCAGTTTAAGAAGGACATGTTTTGATTATACACATGTCATTTGAAAAGCTCTGTTTAAATCTACCTACGCTAGTTCAAATGATTGATTTCAGTTTTGAAGAGAATGTATTAGGCCACTATATTTTGGCTTAGATTTTTGTATCCTATGAAAAGAAATATATTTTCAAAACAATCTACATATTATATATTACAATGTAATTCCTATTTTCAAAAATGTCTACAAGTCTTCAGTCATTTAATTCAATTTGTCAGTGTGTGACTGTTTGTGCAAGTTTGGCTCAAATTTTGGTCTAAACTGAGGCAGAAGCGTGTAAATTGAGTCTACTATTTCAAAATTTGAAAGGTCGCAAGAACATTGATATCCATATTAGTCATCAGTCTTAGCATTCACATTTTATCATTTCCGTTCTCTGTAGTTTTCTGTCACAGCATGCTTAAGAATAAAGACATTCTTTGGTTCAAAGCTACACAATGCGAAAGAATAAAAATACATAAATCAACTGATTGCTTCAACACTTCTATAGAGAATCACATGTGTGAAGGACATTAATGGTAAACTCTTTGCCATGTATTCTCCTGGTTCTAATAGCTGACTAATAAGAGGTGTAAAGGAGTGAACCTTTGCCCTATCAAACACAATCTTTAATATGTTGAGCTTGTTACCTCTTATCACTCTTAATTCCATGTATTCCCCTGTTTAACAACTCCTTTCCTTTATTCCTGGGATTTCTATATGATTTAGAGTATTGCAACTTCATTATCAGAAATTAATGTATTCTGCTCTAATTGATTTCCCGTTATACATTATTTTAGTGAGATAAAATATCACCATCGTGACATTTTGATAAGCATTAACACTGTGTTGACAATATACCATAGAAATGAACTTCCCTTTCCCTTATGAAATGCCAATATACCAAAATAGAAAGTCATTTGATATAAGAAAAATATGGTGAACGGGAAAACCTAATGAAGCTCTCAGGTAACACCTGAGAATCTATTATTTAGTATCGGAAAAAACAAAATGAATAAGCTATTATTACCATCATTGAATGTTTCCTTTCATCTGTTGTTTTAGAACGAATAAAAGTACTTCACATTCGAATAATTCTCTTTGGTTTTTGTATCAAACCAAGCCTGATTCAGATTATTTAGTCTATGGTATTCATTATGTTGTTATTCGGCAAAATTGCTCGAACAGAAATGTTATGTTAAGTCAAATCTAATGGTTACAAAGTACAGTAAAAAACGCTAATAAAATCAGGCTATAATTTGGTCATCTGAAAGCTTCTATTATTTCCGAAGGACCTGACCTGAATTCATTATAACGTTATTGGAATGAACTGTGGGGTTAACCACAATCTTTTCAGTATACTGGACAGGAATATTCATACAGAAAGACAAATTGACAATGCATATTAGAGCTATACTTTCTCCAAGATCTTTTAGAATATTGATAATGCATATTGTATTAGAGCCATACTTTCTCCAAGATCTTTTAGAATATTTTTCTCTTGTTACATCGTTTTCTGCCAATGTGATTTCATATCTACGTTATTATTTTTCTATAAGGAACAGAGTATAGTACTCGAGTATTCTATAGTTAGCTCCAGGATGTGTGTTTTGACCATGACATAATTGACCTAACATGATGTGGGATGTTAAACTAAACCCCATGGTGACTTTAGCATATGGCAAATTATCAGTATTGCATACATAAATTCTCATTGCTATTTTTGTTGTTGATGATATTCGGCATCATATTTTGTTAAGTAAGTGTATCAATAAGAGTCCATGGGGTAGAGTAAAAGGCTGATAATTGGTATGGCGATAATTACTGACCTTAACAAGTACTTCTTGAGACATATCTTCTATATTCGAAGTCGTAAACTCCAAAAGTTAATTAATATCTGACAATTTTATTTGTAAATTGTATTTCAAATGTCATGAGCATCAAATTAAAGCAAATTGAATGAGACAACTGTTTAATCATTAATGCTATGGGGAAATTATTTCATGTCACTGCAGGGTATTTGTTCAAATATAACCTTTTACTCCCCACACAAACCCTTCCTGACTGGGAGAGCATAATTTTTACCCCACGTACCCTTCCTGTCTGTGGGAGAGCATAAGTTGTAGAACATGGTGTAAACAGAATTTTATGATTTTTGTGCAAATAGTATTACAATTAAGCAGTCTTACGTATAAGGTTGAATAATTGCTCATAAATTGATGTTGAGAGGCAATTTTTCACTTTGGATGTAAGACTGTTGTCAGATCAGATCTGTCATATATGCTTGTGAGTACCATGACCCAAAATCGCTTTAATAGTACAAGATGTAGTCTTTTATCAAGTCTGTGTTATTCCATCCCTTGAAAGTAGACCCCAAAAATAGGAAAAATCTGTCAGTCAGAAAATCAACATTTGGAAACCAAAACAAAATTAATTAAATTTTTCCATTGGTGCCATTTAGACAATAGTATCCATTATCATTGATGATATACAGTTTGGCAGTAACTTTGGATCTCAATTTATAGAAGTAGATATGTATTTCAGAAATCTATAAATTGATTTCCAATATTTGTAAATCTCCTTTACCTTACCAAGTCGATCATGTAAGTTGGTAATGATAACTGACATGTTCTGGCAAACAGATACAGTCTTGATGCAGACCTACATGACATGTTATTGCATGGGGTGCCTAGGTAATAGTTGTTGTTTATTATATTCTAGATATGAGTTCCAAGCCCACCGATGATGAAGATATGTTTGAAGGATCAGCAGGTGAGAGACTTATAAGGGTTGTGATCGGGAAATACAATGTACATTCATGGGACAGTCAAATTAAGTTGCTCCTGGTACATGGTGGAATGGTCAAATTAGCCCTCTGTTTCTTCATTGTGACACACCTAAGAGCTTGCTAAATTTAACACCTGTTTTTAAGGAAACCTATTTATTGTTTTTCTTCAATTTGACTGCCTTGAATTCCGAGATATCCTCAAATAATAAATTTGTTATTAACTGTATATGTATGTTTACCATATAACCATGTAGTATCAAGCTAACAGCAAGGGGTTCTCCATATTAGTTTACTTCTGCCTTGATTTCACATTATAAGACATGGTAGGGTGTTTGCTGTAGTTCGAATATTTCTTCAATATTATTCTCAAGCGTAGATGGTGTATTTATTTGTGGTTCAAGAGACAATGTACAGGTTGTTTGCTTTGCCTGTTTATGCTCAGTTTTAGACTTTGCGGTCAAATTCCAGAATGGGTTGGTTTGAGATAAGTAACCATAGAGATTAGTTTCTGTAATTCCTGGTTTGGTGTGGCTTTGGGTTTTATTTTGAAATTGATGAAACTCAAAATAACTTTTTGATCAAAACGTTACAATTGCATCCTGTTGATGAACCCCTGGTGATTTACATAAACTTAAGCTAAATTAAATATGGAATATTTGAGGATATCTCACTTTAAGCCATGTAAAATACTGTTGATGTCTAAACTTTATCTGTATGTCATCTATCTCTTAATGTTTGAGATCAGGGAAGACAATAGGGAAACCTGGATCAACATGAACCAGGGGGACAAAACGTGTGGATAACATTTCTCATTTGAATAATATTATTGCAATTAATTATTAAATAACAAATTAGACTTTCAAAATACAATGTTATTATTGGGGAACAAATGAAAATCCATTGTGCCCCAGGTTCGTCTATTTGTAAATAAGGACTTACATCACTATTCTTTTCCATATATCTCTGTTTAAGTCATTTATGTTCGTTTTTCTGTAAGCGTCAAAAGTCAATGTACTATGAAGCTTTGGATTCTGTCTTGCATATAACCTCAAAAGAGCTGTCAAGACTGTTATTGCATATTGATCTCTTCAAGATTTACTGTTACATGTTGTATTTGGGGAGATATGCAAATTGCATCATACTTAAAGGCTCTACTATGTAGGGTTAAAGTTGCCCTTAATCCCAACAATATGCATCAGTTCAATGAGATATACTGTTATTTTGAGGATAAATGTAAGACAGTAAATGTAATCATTCTCTACTGTAATATAAGATGTTTGCATGGGTGCATTAGGCAATAGCTGTTGTTGGTTGTATTCTAGGCACAGCTGATGATGAAGACAGTTCAGAGGGTTCTGCTCTGGGTGCAGGTAAGAATTGAAGTCATTGGAAACAATGGAAACGTATAGCTTCCTAGTTATCAGTGGTGGCATTATGTTTAAATTACCTGTGAATATTTTCAATATAGGAAGCTTAAATAGGCTCAACTTGCAGTTGCCCTACTAAGAATGCACGGAAAAAATTAATAAGATCAAAGCAACCTGTAACCAACCCTATAGTCTTATATCTATTCCCAAGTAAATTATATTTATACAAAGGTGATTTTGTGTACTAATTTCAAGAAATGTGGGAACACTATTAAGATGTATGTATTAAGCATTTTGATTAATTTGAGACTGAAGCCAAGAAGGCAAAGGTGAGTTTGTCTTGGAACATTTTTATCAACAATTTATTGTTCAGTTTTGCCCTTCCTGTTGTTTAATCATCTTTGTTCGGCATGGTTTATTTGTTTTCATCTAGTAAAACATTCTACTTGATTTTTGCGCTCCTGGTAGGTTTTGAGACCTAAAGTGGTCAGCAAATATATACTTCAAGTTTAATTTGAAGTTTGTACATATTATACCTGTACACTTATTTTCAATACTGCATCAATTTGTTCACATTCAAGTACTTCTTGGCATGAATCAAACTGATCAAAGGATATGATTTTATAAAATGCAGCACTCAATATGACCATTTTTCACTTGACCTAGTTTTGACAAATTAAAATCATGTTTTCCCTCCCTGTAAATGTGCTGCTTAATGGAACAGTAAATTAAATATTAATACTCTTGGTACAGTACATTTCTAGAAATGTGTTTTTATTGCCGTATTTGACATTTGAAAGAATAATAAAATAGAGTTAATATGATAACATGTATGCATAATGAATGACAATATCCTTCTTAACAATAGTGATGTAACTATTAACAAATACAGTTTGTGAGTAGTCTAAATCGTCCTTGTGGTCATGTTCTCTTCCTTCTAAAAATTAAAAATTGAGATATTTTAAAAACAAAGACAAACATAGAGAAAATTATATATAGAAATGAATCTGAAACTTCATTGAAGTTTGAGAGATCAAGAAACTGGGAAATGAACTTGACAACAGCTCAGAAATTAACATGTTTATTGTGAATGTAAATGCATGCTGGTGACTCTAACTTGCTTTCTGTAGACTTACTGTCTGACTGTCTCCAACTTCAACTTGATGTCCAGCAGCGAGGTCTCCTAGGAGCATACAAACCTGACTGTACTGAAAATGGAGAGTTTGAGAAAATTCAGTGCCACGGTAGCGTGTGTTGGTGCGTAGATAAACAGGGGCGTGACATCACAGGCACTCGGGGACAAATTGGAGAAATACAATGTGAAGAAGGTATGGTTTATGTATTAACATAACCCTTTAGTGAAATTCATGTTTAGGTGATGGTAATTCACTAGTGCATGTACATGAATTCCCAATCTAAGAGTCTTACCAAAGGAAAAGCTAATAATGCTGTGAACGTTTTGATTGATTAATCTATTAATCCATGTTGATCTATCTTTGTCTGAATGAAAACACATAGAACGTGGGATTTCTGAATATTTTAGTCTTTTGTGAACCTATTGGAATTTTACCGCTATGTTAGAAGTTTAATTTCTTGAATACAGCCAAGTTTTGTGTTTTCCTATGGGATTTTGCATTTGTTTAGAGGAACAATATTATTTTCTTTGCAAAGCTGCCAAATAAATAGGTCCTTTTGCCAAATGTCTAAAGTTCATAAAATAAATGTATTGAAATTATATCCTTTTGTTGGCCAGTTGAATGATATTAAAGGCCCACGATCACATTGAAAGTGTCAGGATATCTAATGTAAAGTCAGTTTTATGAATGCTTAATGTCTGTATAGAGGTCATATTGTGGTTTATGTTCTATTGGGGTCCTGTTTTAGTACATTCTTAAGACTTCTTTGTCCGATCAAGTCAACTGTAAAACAACCCTGTATATAGGATATTACTTTGTATATAAAGGAGGTAACTGTCCACATGCTATCCATATGAAAAAGTCCTTATGTACACATATAGTACATGTATGTGTACTCTCCAAATCTGGACAAATAAAACGGATTGACAGATTGGATTGAAAGTCAAATACCTATGCTAACACGGTAGTTCAAATAGGTACACCGTTAACTAGCATATATGCTACATGGCTGGCGTTTAATTTTAAAATGAAAGAAATCTTCTGAGGCATTATTGTCCTTGTAAATTACCCAGTGGACTTTAACCTTTTATTAGAAAGAGTCTGTTATTAATCTTTTACAAGATACTGTACTGGCTTTGACGTAAAGGAAAATTATAAATGACATTTTCCAACTGTATGTTTATCATCACTTCATTTTTATCTTGAGGTCTTGATATTTGTCTGATACTCTCTGATACGCCATTCATTTAGAAAATTCTCTAACAGTTTTATTTTTGTCATTGTGTATATCTGATTGAAGTCATAATGTTTCATACTTTACATTGTTATGACTGAATGCTTTAAATGCAAATATACAATATACTGGCAGCAACATGTGCCATCCATATTGTATGGTTCCCACTAGTTTTGGGTATTATGGTCAAAATCCAGATATACTAAAAACAATACTGTCTTGTGTTTTTGTTAAAACACTAATAGTTGTGGATATGAGCCTTACTTAGACTTGGACATGCCAAGGGTATATGGATATTCCAAATTGAATTAAAACATGTTATGTTATTTTCTTTTGTCACAGGAGAATATCTCTAATAAGTCTACACTGACCATTGCTCTGGATATTGCCTTTTGACACCTTTATTTTCTGATTCACAGGTGTTGTTCCAATAGGTGGTAAAGGAAACAAGGACAGAATAAAGCCAATCATAAAGCAAGGAGGAGGCATGGATGGCAATGAACCCAAAGATAAGGTATGTGTATTGTTATGTCGCATATTGAAGGCATCATGATTTATGGTTAAGTCAAAAAGTCTGAGGGGCCAATAGGGCATAAGATAGTGATGGTAAACATGTATTGAAACTAGTAAACACATTTTTATTTATTTATGAATATCATTGGTTTACAATGAGCTCTGTTGTAAAAGTGACACTTAAAAAAGATAAACATGTCTTGCTAACCTTTAGTGCATGAAGTATGAAGCCTTATTTTGGGGGGGGGGGGGCACTTCACAATATCTATTTTTGTGGCAGTAATATTTTAAGGTGAGGGGAGGGCCAGTAAAACATTGAAATTTAAAAAATAAGCAACATTTTTAATTATACATGTCCATAAGCTCTTGTGAAGAACATTGATGTTGACCTGGTTTCCTTGAGTTTAGCAAATTGTGTATATGAAACGTATTGTGTTGTAGGATCAGGATGAAGAGAACAGAGATGATAATGACATTGGATATAATATAGACACACCTACTGGGGAAACAAGTACAGAAGTTAATAATGCTATACCTGTCATCCCAGGTAAGATAAATAGCCATTTTACATAAGGTACAAAATTGCGGAGGAAAAGGTGGGGGGGTAATCAGTATGTACTATTGTAGTATACAGCCTTCAATTTTTCCAAAAAAGATCAGGTTTAAAAGGATTACATCCACAAATGATATTTTCCAGTTTGATATACATAATATTATGATTTGGTTTTATAGAATTCTCCAAAAGTAATATTCTAGGATAGTTGCAAAAATCTATTAATACAGTGGAAATGATGAATCGTTACCTCTGAAATAACCACAGCAAGTGTTATTCAGTATTTGTATATTGGGAAACGTGCTATTTTGTTGAATTTTGAGATTAGTTTACAATGTGTTAAAATGTACTGATAAACAAATGGGCAGCCATCCAATGGAATTTAGTATTCTATATCCACTGCAGAAGTAGCTTAGTAAAGTTTGTATTGAAATTGAATATTCCAAGATCAAACATTTTAATTAAAATTGTTTTAATTAATATTCTTGTGTTTTTGGCTCACACAGTGAGCCTATGGGATTGACCAGGCGTCCGTCCGTCCGTTGGTCCGTCCGTCCGTTGGTCCGTCCGTCCGTCAACATTGGCTGCACAAATTAAAACTGCTATTCGGATTGAGTCATATCCACATTCATTTTATGCATATCCATAATGCCTATTTGACCTATCATCGCCATTTCCCAAGTTCGTCTGGTTTCCGAGAAATTGCGGATTTTGACGTCAAAAAGTCAACTTTTCTGTAAATACTAGACACTTTGTTGAAGTAGAACTTTCAAATAACTTTTAGTAGTTGGTGTATATGCAACTTATGTCCTCTGAAGATTTCAAAGCTCTTGGAATTACGGTTTTTGGTGTTTACTCTATAAAATTTGAAAAAAAGTAGGACTTAGTCATTTTCAGGAAACTTTCTCATGTATAAAGTCAATGGCAGGTTTTGTGATTGACAAGATTCTTAAAGTTTGCCTTATACTTGATCATTTCCTGCAATAAATTACATCATTAATAGATTTAAGCATTCCCTACATATTTCTCAATATATGTCAGCATCAAATTTTTACTGTTTTTGAAATATTTGACGTCAAAAAACAGTGAAAATAAGTTATTTTTCAACTTGCTTCAATTTGACTGATTTTTTTTTTGAAAATCAACTACAAGTTGCCAGGAGTTCAAATCTGACATTAGTTTTAGGATTTGACCTTTACTTGACCTTCAGTGACCTTCGAAAAGTTGATTTTTCAAATTGATTTTTGGATGTAAATTTTGGTCAGCTTAATCACAAAAGACCTTACTGAGCTCTGAATGAGTAGAATTTTCAAGGTCAAAGGTCATCAAACTAGGTCACATAACTATGCTATCTAAGTTTCTCAAAGTTCGAGACTACAAATCCAAATCAATATTTTTGTTTTAAAGTCAGGATATAAATTCCTCTGAAGGTTCCAAACTGTGTGAGCATAGGACCGTGGGTCCTTCATTTATTCAATATGGTCGATCTGTGTGTATTATTACAAGGGCACTTGAAGGAGTACAGTATATGGCATCACTAGGATGAAGTTGAACAAATTCAGTTTGGTTGTTTCAGGCCACAATATCATTGATTTGCTAAATGGTTTGAACTTTAAAGAGCTTAAAGGCCCATGCCAGGATTTCCTATGTTTATTTATTTTGATGCCAAGAACACTCATTCATGTTACAACAATAACAAGACATTCTCATATCCAATAGGTGGCATGATTTACTTAAATTTCATTTGGAATAAGGGAGTTGCTAAATAGCTGAATAAACCTGAATAAATAGATGTCAGCACTTGTTTTTTTTTGTTTCTGTTGTGACAGACTGCCATAGACTTAAATAGTAAAAGTTTACAATAGTCACTTAAATGATATTTCAAACAAAAATTGGTTGAATCTGTCCAAAACTCGATTGGCATACTATGGGATCTTGTTAATGTACATATTGTGATTAATCATGAAATTTTTTGTTGTTGAACGAATAAACCAAGGTTGTAAAGAATTTTAATATTGCATCAATGGAGATTTGGCACACGCTTCTTTTAGAAAAGATTAAAAAAGTCATGGAAAATGATAACTATATGTATATAAAGTATCTTTGTAGAAAACTTTCCACTGAATTTAAATATGCTTTTAAAAAGAAGGAAAGGTCATTAGAGGTTTAATATGCAAATCTCTTAAAATCTCACAAAAAAGAGAATAAGCGAGATTTTAAAGCTATATAGAAACCACTTTATTCCAAAGCATTACTACTTGTAATACTTGTAACTTGTAATACTTGATGAATAACTTTCAAGATTGTTTGCATTTAAAGTACTAACAGATAATGGTCAATATCAAATATCTATGTGTGTGTATTTCAGAGGAAAAAACTACTAAACCTGAAGAAAACCCTGACTTCATGGAGAAGAAGGGGGATGATGTGGGTGCAGCTGCTGTATTGATTGGCTCACCAGGTATTTTAGCAGGTAAGGTTTGCCAATACAATACTCAGTGATCTCCCCTGCATTAAAGCAAGTGGTTATTTATATACTATGTATTTTAGTTTTCATTGAAACATTCCTTTATAAGTGGTAGCAAACTTTGCATATTAACAAGTATATCTCTTTTTCCAGGAATAATAGGTGGTGCTGTAGTTGGCCTCCTTTGTGCAGTCCTACTTGTTATGTTTATCGTCTATAGGATGAGGAAAAAAGATGAGGGGAGTTATCCACTGGATGAGCCTAAAAAGACCACGCCCTCACATTCATATCAAAAAGCACCCACTCGGGAGTTCTATGCATGAACATAGCCATAGAATTCAACACTATTTTATTTATTATTTGACACTGTTATGGGCAGTGCTCCCATATATGGTCGTTGTGCCTTATGTATGGGAACTCTGTTTATGACGCCATTTGATTTACAGTACACAAACGTCAGCTTCACCACATTACCTCATTTAAAGGATTTATGATTAAATAACAGTGGCACAAACTTTTAGTAGAATTGATCCTAAGTTCGTTCAAACTTGCCATGCTCATTATCTGGGTTTTGATCCGATGTTTTTGTGTCAATCATGGCCTTATTTGGAGTGTGGCGTAAAATATTAAATATGAAAAACATGGCTGGGATTGAGTGATTTATGGTATGAGTGTTTGATGAGTACATGAATGATTGAGTGAATGAAATGAAAAAAGACAGCCACTTTTAAACAACATCGAATTAGAAGCAATTATATGTATGTAGCATTGTCCCCTATCTTAAAACAAGTAAAAACTTATGATCTACTACTGCTACTAGGACATTTAGCTTGTTAAGAAGGGAAAACAATCATTTTATAAAACATACATAAGTTTCGGGGAACCAATTTGCCAAACATCATAGAATACAATGTATATATAAATGAATGGAAACAGTTCTATGTGCAAATTGGAGATAGAATTGGAACAAGTATGGAACTGGTGGACAATTATGAATAATATGCTCACGACATATTATGTTTTAAGTAGCTATCTCAAGTTTCAGGATAATCAGTGTAGTATATAAGCCACCTTGGCAGAAGCGAGTAAATCTACCTACCGCGGGTATATATAGGTACAATATTTGTATATAGGCATGTAATTGATATGATGAAATATGGATCTGCACATAAGACTTGTATATTGGACACATAAGCTTTAGATGTACTTATTTGCTGCAGAGTCACTTAATGTGTCTTAAGTAATTTGTAATAGGGAAATGACCATTGCAATTCCCTCACACAAGATGATTTCATTTTCAATACATTCTCAATTCTTATATATTTCAAGAATCCTCGAGCTTTGAATTATTGGCATCAGATATTTTGTTGATTCTTTTCATAAATACCTTTCAAAGACAAATAATAATTTATGATTAATTAATAAATTATCTATTTATGGAAATATGATGTTTGTACATGGGAAAAACTTTCAGTCAATTAGAGAATATTGTAAAATTGATGTGATCTCTGTTCATAGAAATGAAATTTTGCAAAATGTCAATGAGCAAGAGTTGTACAATGTACATTACCATGTGGCATCGTTCAATACAATGTTTCTTTGTGTACAGTAAATCCCTTGTAGAATGAACACTAAATGAGAGTATTGGTGGGCAAAGTTCTGGAATGTATTGTCCATAAGGTGTGTTCAAATTGAGGGGTGCTAACTTTACATAATGTGTTTAATTCTCAACTATAACGTTCATGTTTCCTGTTAAAGGGTCGCAATGTGTTAGAACTGAGAATTTTATGACTCGTGCTAAAAGAGCCATGAGTATGCCAACATTTTTGTATTGTAGTATAAAATAAGTTGCTTAAATTTTACCTGGCATTTCTTTTCATTGTAAATTTATCTCAATTTTGGCGTACTGTTTTAGTCAAAATCAAGAGGCTTGAATTTGTTTCGCTTATATTTGAAATAATTACTTAATAATGGTTCAATTTGATTGTACTTATTTCTGTATAGAGGATCTCCTGGTATGGTACTACATCTTGGTTCTATATTTAGCACACAAATAATATGTATAATCAATGGTAACTGTAACCCACTTGTAAACAATTGAAGATTCTCAGATATTTTTGTAACAGACTTACTTGATTGTATGTAACTGTGTAAATGTATGATATGATATATTGTAATCATATACACTATGATATGATATATTGTAGTCATATATACTGTATGATATAATATATTGTAGTCGTATATACTGGTTGTCATAGGATTTTGATTGCTTTATACAACATTACAGATATATGTATAATCAGTAGGAAAAATATTTCATGAATTTAAAATAGTTTACACTGTATAAAGTATTGACATTTTGATAATATAATAGGTTTGTACATAAAGTAGATGGTGTCTGTCGAATTTTGTTGTTTCGTTGAACTGTTCAATTTGGCAAAATATACGCTTATGATTTTGTCTTCATATATTGAATTAATAATACTAACACCGTCCAATGTTTTAAGGAAATTTTATCCATATTTCACTTTTAAAGATTTTCAATGAACTGGGTCAATCAATTGGGTAATTTCCCATTGAACATTTTAGCAGCCGTGAAATCCCTTGGGTTATGATTTTAAGCTTTCTGATATCTGCTTCAATGTCCATTTCATCGGCAAGGGACTGAACTAGTAATTTCCAATAATTTTATACTTTTTACTCTCTTCCCCATTTCATTTTCTGCTTTATTTAGCAATGGATATTACTTGCCCTGAAGTGGAGATTCGAGGAAATTGAGAAAAAATTTCTTTTGGATTTCCCCTAAATTCTGTTCCTTTGTCATATATGTAGCTTAAAAATTCAGCTGTATTTTTCTTGTATTTCTTATTCAGTATAATGTATTCAGCATAAAAAGTAGGGATTCATGCAATGATTAATCTTGTAATGGAAGGTTCAACAGTGATTTACCTCGAGAGACTTTATTTATCATTTTAAAAGTTATAGTGACACAAAGAACCAATATATTTACTCTCCAAAAGTTTTAACAATTTATGAAATTGGAGAGAATTATCCGATATAAAGGTTCCCGTTCATGTCATATTATAATTTTTTAGTTCACGCTTCATACCGAATGATACATTGAGAAGTCACTGCACTGAATCGCTAGGACAATGTAAGATATTTTGCATTTTTAATCTGAAGCTGCTTTTAACTCTGTTAGGCCATATCTAAGGTAGGGACCATGATTGCATAATCAGCTATATGTTTTTCGAGAAATTATGCAATGTTTTTGAACAGTTTAAAGTAAACTGGCCATTCAATTTCATGTAAAAATTTATGTGTTCTTGTGTATGATGATTTGTTTGTACAGTTTAAAGTACATGTATAAGTAATTCTTACGTTCTTTAAATAAATATACATCTCTGGTTTTTGTTAGGAATTCTATAGGCTAATTCAGCATGCTACTATTTATCAAACCTTTAATTTATGAAAACATATTTATTGTTGGTCATTAATCTTCCGCTGAAAAATGTCTTGTACAGTATATAAAGGAGAACTTACAGTCTGTGGGAAATTATGAGTGGAATCATTTGTTTTTGTTCTTGGCAACATTTTATGATGTAAAACTAATGTTGTATTCTCCTATATAAATAAACTACATTTATACGAAGAGATTGTTATGTTCAATGTACGTCATTAGACTCAACAAATTGTTGGATATTACAAATATTACGATTAAGTGGCAGATTTATCAGGCTTTTGTATACTCATTGATATAATTTCAGTATTACACTGAGCACTGTCTTATGAGTGGCCATTGAGATTTATTAAACAATCACTGTATATCACACATTTTATTACAAAATTGAAGGTCATATCAAACTAAGGCCCTTATAAATCGGTTGTCTTTTTGGTCTCATCATTGCAGTTTTGCAATAGACCTTTCCAATAAATCCTGCCACCTTTTGGTATATCGAGGAAGCTGTGATTGGCTATTGATGATGTCATTGGTTTTACATGTACTTATTCAGGATTAGCAATTAGTTAATATTATTAAGTCTATTTTTGCTTTGACAGATTGCTACCTCCAACCTGAGACATCATCAATCTAGCTTATATATCATCGCTTTCTTGATCTTCCAAAAAGTGGCAGGGTTTATTGGAGGTCTATTTCGATGCAAAATAAAGTCTAGTAACCAGGTCCTTTCAAAAAATTCAAAAATAAGTCAAGCTTAACAGGCGATTAACTTGTGGGATCCTAATGCAAATAATTTGGAACAACAATCTTCAATTGGAACAACTTTACCCTTCTAAATTATATCATATTTCATACCTCTACATCACCAATGGTCCTCTCTTATCAAATTATGGGAACAATTTAAATGCACTAGGGGTGTGTATGCAAACTTTCCAGGGACAGGATAAAAGTTGATCGAACAATTTTACTATCAGAAATATCTCGACACAAATAAAAAAAATATTCAACCCTCCAGAAGCAGTTGGTCAGGAGAAACCTATCTGTAAGGAAATCTGGTCAAATATCCTTAAATAAAATCAGCGAGGTGGTACAATGGTCCACAAAGTTTATGAGACTTGTACTTATGACTAAATCTAGTATCTGGCTCATCATCCTGTCATCAACTGAACATTTTCCTCACTATTTTTTGAAAACTAGTTCTATTTTTGCTGATGTTGTTAAATCAGTTCTTTGAATCTTCAAAATGTGTCTAAGTACACATGTATATTCCCATTATTCTAGTTTCAACAGAAATGAGAAATATACAAATATGTACTCATCAAGGGCATTAAGGGCAACAAAGGTTGGTTTCCAATTTGAAGGATCAAATCAGACCTAAATTGTTTAAATATTGGGGTATTCTTCTGTCTGTATGCATTTAAAGATAAATTAATGCCAATTTACACATTTTACCTGAGGGAACATTTCTTAATTTCTCTTCCAAACTGTTTTAAAGGTGATTTGAACTTAAAGTTGAATGACAGTCATTTCTATTAAAGGCTGCTTAGAAGGACTAATAAGCAAGTAAACCTGTATATGAATGATAATATAGCATATAACAAAAATGTACACTAAACTAGCTAATGCATCATCTATCCTCTTGAAGTGATTCCTTTGTGGCTTCAATAATAGAGTACCATGTAGGAAGATACTCATTCATTGTATATTAACAGCTGTCAACTGTCATATCAGTTGTTCTGTGTCATGTCATATCGTAAGAGTTGTTATAACATACCTATGATGATGTATAGTGCAAAGTGTACACAAGACAGCGGGCCAATATAAGTTTTGAAAAGCCCGCGCCCGCTAACTTTCTGATTGGTCAAGGCACTGACGTCATAACCAATCAATCGAAGATAAAACTGCGCGAGCAATTTTTCTAAACTCATTTCAATCATTTTCAAACCATTTGTTTGTCAATTCTATAAGAAAATGGTGCTCTCTGACCAGTCTACATCATCATAGATATGTTATAAATCGTTTATGTCACTATCGTGGCACATATGCCCTCGGTTCTCAGAGATCAATGTCCCTCCCAAGGTCGGGCCATATATCACTGAGACCTCGGGCATATATGCCACGATAGTGACATAACCTCTAATTATTGTTTCTCTTGTCATATATTGCATTTCTATGAGCTGATGATGTAAGGGTTGTGTAATTATAAAAGCGATGGGATGGATTTGTTTGGCTTCAGCAACAGAGAAGTTCATTATGGAATTCATGTGATATAACAGCTATGTTTTTGCTTTTAGTAATTTGTTATTCAATTCAGTTAGACATAATATATGTGGTCTGTCCCTCTGGTGCCATTCTTTCCTAACAGTGTATAGTTATGAGTCTGCAAGTTATTTGTCTATTTTGCTATAAATACATGACAAAGACAAACAACTGTGGATTTACAGACCACTAAGTTTACAATGTCAAGATTTAAACATAAATTTTGGAGATATTGTTAAATAACTAATACATCTTATTCATGATGCTTTTGTGAATATGGTTCAAGATGATGGAACAATTAAATTATTGTTTGTGGGGAAAATAATATGCAAGTGAGATGATAATACTGATTAAAGATGGCAGAATAGACAATCTGAACAAAAATCACATTTTGATAAATATTAACAATGTATATGTATTTTTCTAGTCTTTGAGTACACACCCATTAAATTCAAGCTATAGAATATCTGATTTTAAGTGTCATGATAAAACTATTGAGAGCTACAGTCTGTACAATTCTAAATTTCTTTTTGGTACATATAATACATGTACTTTACAATTAGCAATTTTGAAATCTAATGAAAAGATGGCAGCACCAATCAACAGTTCAGTTTTCAAAACAACACTGATTGATTGGGTGACAAAATGTCTCAAATATGTATGTAAAGAGCAAATGCATACACCACACTGCAGTCCATGACAATAATAATTAAATTAACCTAAATTATCTTGTAGTTAAGTTTTCGCAGCAGTGATCTTAGGAGCTGTGTGTGGTGCATACTGGCTGAAGTTCCAGGAGTCTGGGGGTGGGGCTGGCTTATAGGGAAGTCCTTTCTCCTTCCTCACAGCTTGCATAATCCAGTGACGTTCTTGCTGCAAAGGGAATCAGATGTTAACTGATGAAGTAGTACAGCCTTTATAGAACACAATTAATAAGACTCAGATTTAATTAGCAATGAGAAAGTATTGGATCTGTCTGTTAACAAAATGCCCGTTGTTCTGAGGATTTAGCCTCAATTTTTGAGCTTGCCTCATGTTGAATTCTATTGAATTTTTCCGGTTAGAGAATGTGCTACCAACATTTCACCTGTGGAATACATGTAACTTAAATGCTGTCATAATAAATAATTGCAATCTGTTAGTCAATTTTAGATGCAAGTTGAACTAAAATTTTATCCACGTCATTTCTAAACTGCAATCATCCCCCTCTTGTTACCTTGCTATATAAAGATGGTAGCATTGTCCAGTCTCATATCCATGTATAATTCATTAATTAAACCCCTTGTTTTTCTTAAATTGGATTGATACTTTAAGAATAATGTTTGAAACTTTTCCATTGTTTTGTACATTTACGGTTACCTATATGCAATGACATGAAGTACTTTCGATTCTTTAATGAAGTTCAATTGTTGCATTTAAAAACTTACATTTAGCTTGGATGACACATGACATATTCTTTATATAAAGATTCAATTGTTTAAATATTGTGCTTTGAGTATTTACTATGGTAACCATGCAAAATATCCATACTTGTTTCATTTTAGTGGCACATTCATAGAAATCCTGATATTCCCTCATACATTCTTTCTGGGCACGTTGTACTCCAATTGTGGCAGCGCATCTAAAACAAAATATTTTTCATTAATAGCTTGGGCCCATTGCAGGTTCCTAGCCAGGGGGTTCGGGGGTTTGAGAGAACTACATCCCTCCCCCCTTGGCAAAAGCTGGCTATGAGTCTGCATTGGTAAACCAAACATCCCAGTCAAAAATGACAACTTGTAGGAAAAAGAAGCATATTCTTGTTTTATTCAGATTCATTTCACCCTATGCAGACAGAGCCTGTGGGAAATATTGGGTGCGGCGCAAATGAGCGGAGGGTGCGGAGCTAACGGTCATTTTTGAATTTAAAATTGGGATATTTCTGAAACTAAGCCGTTTTGGGACTTCAAATATACCAAGATATGTGTATTTGACACCAAATATCAATAAAATTGTGAAAATAGTAACTGCAATTCATTTTATAGCGACGCAGTATGCCTTAAACATTTCCCAGACTTATATATTTTGAGACTATCCTTTTAATACTGCGTCCCCAGCATTCATAAAAAATGGTGTTCAAGATACACTACCCATGCAAATTATTTTTGCATCTTGGAAGCCAGGCAGTATCTGTGTGATTTTATAAAAATTCGAAAATGTTCTTCAGATATGAGCCCCTCTAAATATTGGGTGCGGAGCTACGTTTATGGAGCTGCTCCGCACCCAATATTTAGAGGGGCTCATATCTGAAGAACATTTCCGAATTTTTATAAAATCACACAGATACTGCCTGGCTTCCAAGATGCAAAAATAATTTGTATAGATAGTGCACCTTGAACACCATTTTTTATGAATGCTGGGGACTCAGTATTAAAAGGATAATTTCAAAATATATAGGTCTGGGAAAGGTTTAAGGCACACTGCGTCGCTATAGAATGAATTGCGCTACTATTTTCACAATTGTATTGATATTTGGTGTCAAATACACATATCTTGGTATATTTGAAGTCCCAAAACGGCTTAGTTTCAGAAATATCCCAAATTTAAATTCAAAAACAACCGTTAGCTCCGCACCCTCCGCTCATTTGCTCCGCACCCAATATTTCCCACAGGCTCTGTCTGCATAGGGTGCATTTACCCTCAGATATATTTTAGGGAAGAAAAAGAATACAGAACATGTTTTTTCCACAATGGAGCTTTTTTACAACATATGTCTATGGTTCAAGCCATTCATCACTTTTTGATATAAATTCGTATTTTTGCCAATTTCTACTCGAGCTTTTACATGTATGTTGATCAAATTATGATGTTTATTCTATTGTCTAGAGTAATCAGGTAATGTATGAATGTGCTAGGAAAAAAAATCATTTCAAATAACCATATATGGTAATTTACCTATTAAAGTCCTTCTCTAAGAATGCACATTCACTATGTTGGTGGCTGAGCCAATGTTCTGTAATACGAGTGAATGGTGTATCAAATATGGGTGGGACCGACATCTTTTTCCTGGAAATCAAAGCACAATGGTGTTACTTGATTTGAAATTTGTTTCACAGTTTATTTCTCTTTGATATTCTGCTTATGCTTCATGGTAGACAAAACTAAGCTGATAGGGTTCATTTCTGAATGTTTATCGATTTAATCGCCAACAATTTCTTTTTTGCAATTGCATGTTGGCCAAATTGCTTTGGAGTTGGATCTTCTAGGCTCAAAGAATAAACCGGAAAATATGACACCAAATTGGATAATTTCAAAAAAAGTGACCACTCTTCAAAATGTTCCTTAAACAAAGTGGTACCTGCTTCCCCATGACAGATCTTGCACTTAATTTATAGCTGAGATCATTTATCTTTCTATTTCCACTTGTTTGGTTTGTGTAAATAAGCTATGGACGCAGTAATTTAACTTTGAATACGGCAAAAAAATTTCAGTTGTTCCGGGCTCTTGTGTGTCCAAATATCATTGCTGACATCACATTTCTGGAATCAAGGGAGCACCATTCAGATTTGGACAGACAAGAGCCCGCAGATAAAATATCACTATTTTGACCTCTTATCAACGCAGAATTGCTTGAATACCGTTCAGTAGTGATCAAAAAGGTAAAGAATAACAAGACGCTTCAAATGAGGTAGGGGAAATGGTCCTATCATCGCACGGGTACTCTGGAAGGCTACTGACAGTTTCAAAAATGATAACTTCTTCTATAATTTAAATTGTGTTTGAAATTTCTCAATCTCTGAAAGCTAACACTTTAAGACCCCTTAGACTCGCATGTGTGGTGGTCCTAATTATCGCACAGTCATCCTAATTATCGCACGCTTGTGTTTTGAGTGTTATTTCATGATACTGGATACATTTCACTGTTAATAATAGGTGTATACATATGCTATAATCATTTTTCTATCAGTTTTCGTGTAAACAACTATCAACAAAATCTACATAATTCACTTACTTTTCTGTCTTTATTTGGAGGGGGTCAAACTTTGTCAGATGAATTTCACTTCTTGCGCAATCGCATTTATGACAATAGCAGAAGTAAATAATTTTCAAAAATGAAGAGATATTTCTAAATATATTTATAAATCATGAAGATTGGAAGATTGGTGAACATAAATAATTACTAACACTAGGAAAAAGACATTCTATCACATGTCATAAATTCTTACCTCAGTGAATTGAGTGCTCTATTTTCTCCATCCCAAAACGTACAAATATAGAGGAATTTGTGTCCATAATGAAAAATAGGAACTTAAAAATTTGAAGCAATATTCACATGTGAATGCCGACTCTTCAAATGTTGAGGTGATTTTGGTGCCCGATTACACCAAGGAGGATTGGCTCCCAGAATGCAACATGACACGTGCAAGCTTTCAAAATGCTGTTCCGCCATTTTGAAACCTGTCACGAGTAAATAAGGTTAACTGATGTTGCATTCTGGGAGTCAATCCACCTTGGATCACAAACATGGCGATCCATGAAAACATTCGTTCGATTTGGTAAGAATTTGGTAAGAATTTATCCATCATTTGCAGGTATGAAGATTTGGATTCATTTATTGTGCTACTTAAAGTGAACGGGAATTATATTTCTCTACCGCTTGGGAGAGTTTGAGACATGAAACTTAGAATTTAGCTCATTGTGACAACTTTTGATGGTTGAGGTTTATCAATGTCTCCCACTGTAATGGTGTTGAGCTGGTACCACTGGTTTAAAAGATGTATAGTGCATTTTTAGCTACTTAGGGCAATTGTGCGATTATTAGGACTCACCCTAAATAAGACACTCTTTGTTGTTTTGAATTTCCCTTTAAATTGCCCAGTATTCTTATTTTTATTGATGTAAACATAATAAACTCACCTTCATTGATCATTACACGCAGTCCTAGTTCATACATTCGTCTACTTCGCAGGATATTTATTCACAAAAGAGTTAAAAATAAAACTGAAAGAAATATTTTACAACAAGCTTCCATCTTGACTAAATTAGATCTAGGACCGTTTTCCCTATGATTTGTCTAATAATTTTCTAAATTGGCTGCACAATCGTCATTTTGAAGTATGCAATTTTGTAAGTTGACATATCTTCTGGATTATTCTTTGAGCTTCTGATCCTACTACAAAAGAATCTGGACGGGTTTTATGGTATAGTCTAGATTCTAGAAGGGGCTAGCAAAGGAAGGCTAGAAAAAATGAGCCTAGAGTCCATTTCACTGCTTCATTCGTCAGTAGAACGGCAAAAATAAGAAATTGGGAGACCATTGTGCAATAATACTGTAGATTAGGTTAATTTGGCGCCCGCTTTAATTTGGCGAATTTGGCGAAATTGAAAAAGTCGCCAATATAAATCTTCGCCAAAATTTAGAATGAATCCCCGGGAATTATCCAGGGTATTTCGTCCAGTGTATTTAGGTCACTTCCGGTTTAGTTTTTTCCAAAAATATGAAAAATATCTCATAAATTGGCTCAGAACTGGTCAGTCACCCATTAATACTCGGGGGAAAAACTAAAAAGGAAAAGCGCGGTATAGTAGCAGCATCGATCGAGGTGCAAAATGTAAAGGATGATCTCACAAAAATGTACAAACATGGTGAATATCGCCAGTGGTCCTCAAAAGAAAAAATGAACATAGCCAAACATGCCCAATTTTTTGCATACATGTATCCGCCAAATTAAATAGCCGCCAATATGCCAAAAATGGCAAAATCGCCAAATTAAGTAGCGCAAAATTAACCCAATCTACAGTATATGGAAAAGTATATTCATAATGTACATGAATGACATTTGTATATTTCAGATTTTTTTAGTTTTTTGTGCAATAAGCCTGTGCCGTCTTGTAATTTGAAGAATTTCAGCCATGTTAATCTTATTGAAAATAACATGGCAGAGAAACATCCAAATATAAGAGGCCACACACTTTAAAAGCCAAACTAGAGTCCATTTCACTGCTTCATTTCATCATTAGACATGTTAGAACGGCAAAAATAAGAAATTGGGAGACCATTGTGCAATAATATATGGAAAAGTATATTCATAATGTACATGAATGACATTTGTATATCTTGGATTGCTTCTAGTTTGGCTTATAAAGCGTGTGGCCTCTTATATTTCGATGTTTCTCTGCCATGTTATTTTCAATTAGATTAACATGGCTGAAATTCTTCAAATTACAAGACGGCACAGGCTTATTGCACCAAAAACTAAAAAATCTGAAATATACAAATGTCATTCATGTACATTATGAATATACTTTTCCATATATTATTGCACAATGGTCTCCCAATTTCTTATTTTTGCTGTTCTACTGACGAAATGAAGCAGTGAAATGGACTCTAGAAGCAATCCAAGATATACAAATGTCATTCATGTACATTATGAATATACTTTTCCATATATTATTGCACAATGGTCTCCCAATTTCTTATTTTTGCCGTTCTACTGACGAAATGAAGCAGTGAAATGGACTCTACACATACAGTGGGGATCATAAAGAATTGCAAAAGCTATGAAAATTACATGATGTCGCACATGTAATAAATTCTTACCTCAGTGTATTCAGTGCTCTATTTTCTCCGTCTGAGTAAGTCCAAATATAGTGGAATTTGTGTCCCTAATGACAAATAAGAACTTCAAAAGTTGAAGTGGATATTCACATGTTATGCCGACTCTTCAAATGTTGAGGTGATTTTGGCGCCCGATTGCGCCGGAACGGAGGATTGGCTCCCAGAATGCAACATGACACGTGCCAGCTTTCAAAATGCTGTTCCGCCATTTCGAAACCTGTCATGAGTAAATACGGTAACTGATGTTGCATTCTGGGAGTCAACCTTCCTTGGATAACAAACATGGCGATTCATGAAAACATTCATTCGATTTGGTAGGGATTTATCCAATTTTTTGCAGGTATGAAGCTTTGGATTCATTTATTGTGCTACTTTAGTGAACGGGAATTATTTTTCTACAGCTTGGGAGAGTTTGAGACACGAAACTTTGAAATTAGCTCATTGTGACAACTTGTGAACGTTGACTTTTATTTTTGTCCCCCACTGTATGTACAGTAAACAGAAAATCTCTGAGAAAATAATTTGATCTTCATCATCCAAACACGTATGCATAAAAAAGAAAAAAACATGAAATTTCTATGCAATGCCGCTTTGAATGTTCTACATGCAGATCATGGTAATACTTACAAAAAGATCTGAAGTTCACTTTCTAGTTCTTCAAATCTGAAATCAAAGATGGTGGACTTTGACCATGAATTATTTCAGTTTCTCAAAAACTGATAAAGTTTCTTTGATCAAGTATGAATCCATTCAAGGATGGTCATTTACAAAATAAAAGTAAAAAAATTAACATATATGACATAGGCCAAAACATTGTTAAACTTACAAATTCTGAACTAAATTTTAGAGACGTTTGACTCAGAATTGTGGAAATTCTAAAATTAATGCTCTCCAGTTAAGGTGAAGGTCACATGAAAAAGAAAACACGAACACGGATTTTTGATTCTCTCCTGAATTTAGTCGATTATATGACTAAATATGTATATAAGGACGTAAAATGCGCAGTGAATCACACACAGATTCATTACGCTCATTCCAATATGCAGTTTGACCCATTTTCCTTCAGGAAACCGGGACTGGTTTATAGTTTAGTTTCTGGATTTGTTTTGTTGGCTTCTCTCATTGGATGGCTATGGTGGAGTCCAATCTGGGAAGATAGTTCAACCATACATCAGACAGGTAAGACTTAATATTTTCATTTACACTGTATAAACAGATGTCAGTGGAAATTAAGAATCATCCTTATAATTCCCCTAACAATTTTGGCCCCAAAAATAACAAATTTAGATAGACTACCGGCCAATGTCTAGATCTACCATTTAGTTCAACAACATTAAACTCAATAACAGCGTTCTTTACTATTTGGAATTTTCTTGATAGCCATTATTGAGTTTAACCTCCTTACTATACTTTTCCTAGTCACAAGTTCTGGATCTATCAAAACCAATTTTCCTCGATATGTAACTGATACTTGACAATAATATAAAAACACATAACATCAAGCGATTTCACACAACATTATTGCATTAAATCTCCATTTAAACTAGTAAAATTTATAGGTTAGAGACTTCAAAAGAGTTTCCCATAGATGAACATTATAACATTTTACCCTCTATCTTCTTAACAGTTAGTATCTAACCCTAGTGCAACATACCACAGTGTTCGGGAGAGACTTGCCTCGTCTGCTATAACAAACTTACCATAGGTTGTCCATCGAATTTTTAGATTTCCCACTGAACTTTGACATGTTTTCAGATAAATTAGGACTTACCTTACAAATATTAAGCCCCGATTCACTTTCCAAATGCCAGATGGCGCTCCAATGGGGTAGGGAAGGAGAAAATGACTTTTTATACAGAAAACCAAATCACTAGCAGGACTATATCCTAATAGTAAACTGAATTAGTAAATGTTTTCTTGCAACATGGTTATATTAGCATTTTGTAGGCATGAGGCATTATCCCGATCACAATGGTATATAACAATGCTATATTTGAGAAAATGCACGGGGGAAGAATCAATCCTTATCGACACAGGTCCTTTTAGCAAAATTCAGGAAATTTGATTTTGAGATCTCTTGAAATCTCTTTGGGGTAGGGGTACACCTTACAGATTGCATCACAGATTGAGTACACCCTGATTCACTTCCCAAACGCCATATGGCGCTCCAATGGGGTAGGGAAGGAGAAAATGTCTTTTTATACAGAAAACCAAATCACTAACGGTAACCGCTAGTATTCTTACGCAGGACTATATCCATACGCTAAAATTAAACTAGAAGCAAAATGAAATTGTTGTCAAATAAATTGATAAATATTATAGCGATTATTGCAAACCTACCATTTGTTAATTCAATGTCATTAATGACGGTATATTTCTGATACGATTTGCCATAAGACAGGTCAGATAAGAAACGTGGCCCCAGACTAGGTCTAACGTTGTTGGACTACTTACTAGTATCTTGCGATATATTCTTTGATGCCTTAGGTTGTGAAACCCCAACAAACATGATAGTGGAGACTTTAACTTCGTTTTTACTGTTGTAATTCAACACATCATTGCAGATCCTTTATATATCAATATGTCAATTAGAAGACAACATAAATTAATAAATACCCTAAGATAATGTCTTCAAGAAAGTTGATTTTGAATAGCCTGAGTGGCTTCAGCCACTCTCCTTCAATATTGGACATTGATTTCCAGGGGTGTCCTCTTCTATACTCTGTTGCAAATGTCCGCAAAACATGAGTAAAGATTGAGTTTTCTTTGCTGTTTGAACAGTTTATTGTAAAATATATTTACTTATTTATTTAATATTTATCAAATGGGCAGCTTTTGTTCTTCAGGATACTAAAAACTGGGATCTATTTCTTGTGCTTTTCCATGATTCTAACAAAAAAAACTTATTTATAAACAATAACTTATGACAAAGCTCTATCTCTTTGTCCAATGTACAGTTTTCGGTTGATCTCCAGTATAGTAAAACCTGAACATCCCTAAGGTACTCCTCTCTGCAAGGAAAAATTTCAACAGATTCAAATATTTTTTAACTTGTTAATGACCTCTCTGTAAGGAATACCTGTTTACTGGAAACAAGGAACAGTGTTTTAAGGCAATATTGAATTCACCTGTCCACATAAACAATCGGTTACACTGCACATCCTATTGTTTTTAGATGTGTGAATGATTGAAGCCAATATCTGATTCTAATCAGCCTAGATTAAAATAAATAAGATAACGATAAGCCAATTATTAAAAGGAAGTAACATACCACCTACTGTTGATTGCCCCAATATTTTGGAAAATCATAATAATCTGTTATTAATTGAGATTACACTTATGCTTTTTAAACAAAGTTTCAGGTTTTCAAAAAAAAAAAAGATTCAGGTTTCATCTAGAGTTAATAAAAATATTTTGAAGATTCATGTTAATGGATAAAATTGGGTATCAGTGTGAAATAGAGATGTCTTTGCATAATGCAAAGTCTGTTCAAAACAATTCAAAAATTTTAATTTTTGACATCATTTTATTTTAGTTTAGTACCAGTATGACCTCAAAAGGTATAGCTGAATATATTTGGGAGAGAAAATAATATACCCATTGCATGGAATAAGTAATTTTCTTTGGTATAATGAAACATCAGAGTAAAATAATTATTGAATTTTTCTTTGTGTTTTTATGAAAAATAGCATGCTCCCTCACGCCAGACAAATCTTTCTAATCCAACCCGTGAAAACATTGTTTCACTCCAAAGTGAAATGTACCATTGTTAACTGTTCTAAAAAGTCTTCTTTGTAAACCCCAAGTTCTAAACAACATCTTTCTACATATTTATCAGCTTGTAAAGGTTAATGCATTTTCTGTTCTTTTCTCTGTTTTAGTTATCATAGAAAAAAGATAAGACATCAAAAACAATAAACATTATGCATGTACATATTCTGTTCAACAATTTTGATGTGTTGTTTGGAGCAAAACATAGACCTTCTCTGTGAAGGAGATTTGTTTCCAAGGGATGCTTTCACCCAGTAACACACAGAGAGTGTTCCCTGTACACAATTTTTGCTATAATGCTACGTTTGTAGTAAACCAATCATAACTTGCCAACACGGTGTGAAGTAATCCATGCATAGAGCGATTTACTCTTAGTAGAATGAACAAATAGATAGAAATAATCATGTTTTATTTGTAATATTCAAATAACACAACATAATTTCATTTCTGATATCTGTATTGATTTACTTTACAAAGCCTTCATCGTAATAGATAGTAGATACATTGTTACTCATGATCATCATTCATTAAAACATAATATTATGAAGCATTTTAAAGAAGCCGAGAAATAAAATTATTATTATTATTGTATCTTCTTTCTTACTTTCGATATAGTCTTATAAAGAGAAGGATAAGTGTTCACTTTTAAATGGGAATTTATCTACAATGTTGTTTTATTTACAGATATAACTATATTATCCAACTTAATTTAATATTATTTTGCATGATAACAATTCAAGGTTTTTTTGATTATAGGAAATAGGGATGATTCCTCCCACCTAATAAAAATGAGGGGTTTTGTAAAAGGCAGCAAGCAGGGTTGCGATATTTATCAAATTCAACTCCTCCAGTCTAAATCCCCTACAGTAAAATCAAAAATGTACATGGAAATCATTATTGTTGATAAACTATACTATATAATATCACTAAAGAATTCTCAATTGTTATTTTGTGTTTTCAGAGAGTCCACTGATCATATCCTCTAAAGATGTCATCTTCCAAGTTGGTTCTGGGGGCTACCTCAGCATAAGGCCAAGGTAAGCACTGCTACTAAATTAGTAAAAACCTGACATGAATCATTGACTAACAGTGTAGTTAGCCTTTTACTTGTGTCTCAGTGTTGTATAATCTCTCATACTTTATTATCTCCAATAGACGCACACCCGACTTTTCCAAGAAAGACTGGCAACTTGAGTAACAAAAATCAAGAAAAAATAAAATTTATTCGAAAATCTGACTGAGCGATAATAGGGTTAATATTGAATAATTCACTTCAATCTGACTGAAGCTTATCGATCTCCATTTGACACCCGCAGTGCATCATGGGAGTTTTGATATTTCTCCACCATTTCCCATAAACAAACATTCAATCCTTAATGCTCGGAAAGATTGAAGTGGATGTTTTATCATCGATATTCACTTGTATCTCAATTAATCCACAGAACACATTCAGCAGATCAATAAATGGATGAGGAAAACCTGAGTTATGATATTATAAGTTATTGAATGATTTGAAGTGCAATATAGGATATATTCTGTTCGAGAAATTTTGTATTGGAACGAGACGAAGTCGAGTGCCAATACATAATATCGAGAGCAGAATATATCCTGTATTGCACTTCAAATCATTCAATAACGTTTTTATCGTGTGCTCTTCTGGATTGCTACTGAGATTGTCCCTCCGTACCAATATTTTCTGTATTGCGACGGAGATGATCAACGGGGACAATCTCAGTAGCAATACAGATTGGTACAGCACAAGAACTGACCAATCAGAGGGCTTCATTTTACAGATCATACGATAATATGTTATACAGTCCAGTTTTAAAGAGGAAAATCATGATACACCCTATTATCGCCCATATATTTATTATGTCACCACCAAAAGTGGTGACATATTGTTATGGTCTCCGTTTTTTTGCGACGGCGTCCGGCGGTTGGCGTCCGGCGTCTGTAACAATTTCTTACAACTTCCTATAACTTAACAAATACTGTTTTGACTGACTTCAATTTTTTTCTAAATCATCTACATGTTCTCAGAAGTTCAAATCTGACTTTAGATTTGACATTTGACCTTCAATGACCTTCTCAAGGTCAAAAAGGTATTTTTTCAACTTGCTTCACATTGACTAAATTTTTTTTCAAAATCATCTACATGTTCTCAGAAATTCAAATCTGACTTTAGATTTGACATTTGACCTTCAAATCTGACTTTAGATTTGACATTTGACCTTCAATGACCTTCTCAAGGTCAAAAAAGGTCAAAAAGGTCTGTTTTCAACTTGCTTCAAATTGACTAAATTTTTTTTTCAAAATCATCTACGTGTTCTCAGAAATTCAAATCTGACTTAATATTTGACTTAAGATTTGACATTTGACCTTCAATGACCTTCTCAAGGTCAAAAAAGGTCAAAAAGGTCTGTTTTCAACTTGCTTCAAATTGACTAAAAAAAAATTTCAAAATCATCTACGTGTTCTCAGAAATTCAAATCTGACTTTAAATTTCACTTAAGATTTGACATTTGACCTTCAATGACCTTCTCAAAGTCAAAAAAGGTCAAAAAGGTCTTTTTTCAACTTGCTTCAAATTGACTAAATTTTTTTTTCAAAATCATCTACATGTTCTCAGAAATTCAAATCTGACTTTAGATTTGACATTTGACCTTCAATGACCTTCTCAATGTCAAAAAAGGTCAAAAAGGTATTTTTTCATCTTGCTTCAAATTGACTAAATTTTTTTTCAAAATCATCTACATGTTCTCAGAAATTCAAATCTGACTTTAGATTTGACATTTCACCTTTAATGACCTTCTCAAGGTTCAAAAAGGTCAAAAAGGTCTGTTTTCAACTTGCTTCAAATTGACCAAATTTTTTTTCAAAATCATCTACATCTTTTCAGAAGTTCAAATTTGACTTTACAAGTTCTCAGAAATTCAAATCTGACTTAAGTTTGAACTCATAATATTGTGAGCAACTAGGTGGTGACATTTTGTCATGTTAATGCCTTGTCTTAGAATTTGGTCGATGCACGGTGCGTTTATTAGAGAGAATATGGTATTTGTGTTATAACTATTCTATTTACCATTGTAAAAAGCATGCTAATCACAAGTGTTTCCCACATTTTTATCTATGTCGGAAATCAATCAATGAAGAGAATTCTTTTTATTTCAGAGAGCCACTTCTTGAAGAAGCTGAAATAAAAATAGTGTTTGATGATCCAGAAATCGTAGACACCATAGGAACATTCACAATCCCACCTGCCTCACTTAGGGAAATATTCGTGCCTTTACACTCCAAAAATGGAATTGCCGGACATTGCGTTATGTCCCTCCAGACTAAAAATAAAGAAATCAAGAATTTATATATGATTAAAGTGAAGATTCGTGTAGTGCAAAGTGTTCTGTTTGGATATTTGAGCGTCGCACTTGGTTGGCTGTATTTTCTTGCTTGGAGCATTTCATACTATCCACAGATCACGAAAAACTATAGGCGTAAATCTGTTGTGGGATTCAGTCTTGATTATGTGTTCCTAAATCTTATGGGACATATATTTTATGGCATCTTTAATGTGAATCTATACTGGAATACATATATTCAGGTAAATTTTTGTTATTTTATAATAGTTAGGTATTTACACAATCTCAGGGCCTTATAAACAACCACAAGGAAAGGCAAATTTCTGGGATCTTCCGTTTACATATATATAAATTGTAGTATATCAGTTGTATTATGTATTGTTTAGGCTATGCTTTTAATTGATTAACCATATACGTACTTGTACCAGCCTGACTTATAGGTTGAATTATTTGAATTAGTGTTTTATACAAGTCCCTGTATTGTATATCCCCTCCCCTCATCCCATTTTCTTATGTGATGAGAGGTGTAGAGAGAATACAGTTGATGTAGAACAAGCTAAATTAATGTCAATCAGAACACTCTACATTACATCAATGAGTACATTGACTATAATTCATGTTTTGGATTTTATTTCAGAAACAATATGCCAAGCGGCACCCAAGAGGTGACATTCCTGTGCACTCCAATGACTATGTGTTCTCTCTGAATGCTGTTCTCATGATGACAATATTAACAATCCAGTGTGCAATATATGATAGAGGGGACCAAAGAGTAGGCCGGGTTAATCTATGTATTATAGGTACAGTGAATTCACATTTTTCTCTTATTTTTGGCCATATACAAATTACCATTGTTCTTACACACAGTGACACTTTGTTGTTTTTTGTTCCTCTTCTTGGTGATACCCTTGATTTTCTGCTTAAAAATAAGGGTACAACTACAAACTAGCATGATTCTCTTGAAATTTACAGTATGGACAATTTGTAATTGCAAACCTTCATTTCTTTATTATGCTTTAATAACTTCAACATTTTGTATTACAAGCCTGAGTTAAACAAGATAGACATTGACTTATAATGCTATAAACAAAGCAGCTACAAATCATACAAATGTTCATGTTTTTAAAATTCTATAAATAATAAAAAATGTATTTAAATATTTTATGCTACATTACAGGTGTGTGTTGTTCAGCTACATTGTTTGGTTTATTCAGTGCATGGACAGGCCACACTCCCTGGCTAGACTTTCTATATTTCCTGTCATATGTTAAAGTAGCCACAGTGCCTGTTAAATTCATACCACAGGTGAGTTAAACATTGCCTGTTAAATATATACAGTAGAACCTGTGTACATGGATCACCCTTGGGACCACAAAAAGTGTTCCACTTGTGAGGTGTTCCACTGACAGAGGTTCATTTAACATGGAGTCAATGGGCTACATGATTTTTAAAAACCTGTTCTACTTGTTGGGTGTTTCACTTACAAAGTTGTTCCATTTAGCAGTTTCTACTGTACCTCAGATGAGTTAAATATTGCCTGTTAAATACATTCATGTCTATTAAATGTATGCCTTGAGTGAATAATGTTGTCTGTATTGTATGAGACGGAAAACTATATTGACCGTGGGTAAAAGGGATATTCAAAGAATAGGATAAAAGTAAGAAATTATTTTAATTTGAATGATTTAAATTGACACAATTACTGGGATTAAAATTTGGCTTTAAGTTTTTATGCAGTTATAATTTCCCTATGTTAATTCATATTTATGTTGTAAAATTGTAATAGAAACTATGCTGCATTATTAATAGGGTTATAATTGCGCAACCTGCACATTTTATTTATTTAGCTTTTGGATTAAACTAAGTCCATTATCTTAAAATGCGGAAAGCAACAAATTGACTTCATAAAATATACATGCAGGTGCTATCTTTGTACGCAACAGGTGTTTCCCTTAATATTAGATACATGTCATTAAAAAGCCCTCATCACTACTGTGAATATATTAATTACATGTATTGAATGCTAATAATCCTAATCTTTAGTTGGTGTATTCATTAAAAGCTCAATGATAAAGATGAATTAATAGAAAGTCAAGATTCCATTAAGTAAATGGTAAATTTCACATGATTTGACATTTCACTTGATGTTTTGTGATACTCTCAAAGTCTCACACTGAGTTGATGAATATATTTTATGTGCAAAGTTTTGTCAACCTATAAGTTATTTTATATCCAATCAAATTGGTGATTTTGACTATTATTTCAGTAGGGTATATACAGGGTGGGCCAAAAAGAAAAGAACCAATACCCAACTTTAAATCAGAATGAAATAGCTATGTTCAATATGATACATTGACTTATATATCATTTTAAAGGTAATACATTTTCGAACAATTTATTATAACACCATGTCGTGAAATCAATATACAGGGTGGTCCAAAAAAAATTGGAACATTTGTTAATTGAACACAAAACCTTTATTTTTCCTCTAAAATGCACCAAAATTTTACTGAGCATAGTTCAGTCACTTATCTCTCTGATGTAAAGTTTATAGATGCAAACCACAAAGTTAATGCATTAAACTAGTCAATGTTTGATATGGCCCCCTTTTCTTAAATATACACTTGTCAATTTCGCAGCTACTTTTTCAAGTATTCTTTATTTTAAAGCTTTAATTAACATGTTGATTGCTATACAAATTTTATAAAAATCATATTTAGTTGACATGAGGTATTAACATCTATGGTTTACTGAAAAACTATTGTATTATTGTCAACTTAAGAATACCCCAAATCATTATTTTTTATTTAAGAGTAGGAAAGAAAGAACATGTGAGTGATTGCATACCCATACAGCTACTAAACTGACAAAATCATTGTTTCCACTTTCCAGTAAAGGGGAAACTGACCAGTTATTTACAAGGCTTTATTAAAGACCACCTCTAAACACATATAATATAATATATCATTTGTGTTCTGGGAAACTCCTTTATAATATTGATATACTTATATTGATATATTCAATGAAAATTATTTATATTAGAACAAGAAAGGGGGGGGGGTCATTTACCAGTCAAAACAGACTGCTCTGGCCTCTTTCTGGAGAATATTCAATCAGTAATATATCCAACAATGGCCATCAAAATATTCTTGATACCCATCAATTTGGTTGAAAAATGTTGAATATGTTCATATATTTGATCTTCCAAGGCAAACATTTAAGCAGTTTGTTCAAGCTGAATTTTTTAATCAAGATGGCTTGGACAAACAAACTAATTGACAAACAAAAAGCAAAGTGAATGAATCATTTCAAATCTGAGTCCAGTCCTCTGTAATTCAGGAGAAGAGGGGTCATATCAAACATTCTCTAGTTTAATGCATTAACTTTGTTGTTTGCACCTATAAACTTTGCATCAGATGAATAAGTGATTGAACAATACTCTGTAAAATTTTGGTGCATTTTAGAGAAAAAATAACGATTTCGAGTTCAATTATCAAATGTTCCAATTTTTTTTGGACCACCCTGTATATGTAAGTCGATGTACCATATTTAATGTAACTATTTTTATCCTGATTTAAAGTTGGGTATTGTTTTTTTGGCGCACCCTGTATATATGTTAAATGCTGTATGTTGTAGGTGTATATCCAGTACAAGTTAAAGAACACTGATGGCTGGTCCATTAAATCCTCCCAGTTAGACATAGTTGGCTGTGTAGCTAGTTTCCTACAGATGATTGTAGATGCCTTCAATAATGGTGAGATATTCATCTGAATTTAATACATGATTAGTTATTAATGAAAACGCAGAATGAAATCATTTGCTTCAATGTGGGTGGGTATCACTGTATATATGATTGAAGTTAAATGGGCCATGTACATGTATATAAAAATGTCAAACTCTTGTTTTTATGAATTCTGTGTAAATTATTATTACAAAATTGTGTATCTTTTGCTTTTCACACACAGAAAACTGGAATATATCAGCTGTGTATCTTGCAAAATGAATGTAATGACATTTGCATTATAAATGATCAATATTGACATACCAAAACAAATTCCCGTGTTCAAGAGAAAAATGGGCTTGCAAGGAGCATACATCCATTTGATTAAAAATCTGATTTCTAAGTGTTATTCGTTGCAGATGACTGGGATGGAACCTTTGGCAATCCTGGCAAAATGATGCTTGCATTCGTCAGTCTCTTCTTTGATCTGATTTTCTGCATGCAACACTATATACTCTATCCTAAATCTCAAGCCACCAAAGTCCCAAAGTCACCTTTAGTAAAGACAGAGTCACCATTTCAAGGATTTTCTGTGGGAACTGTTCACAAGCCAGGCAGCATATATGATCTCTAGTAGAAGCAGTGAAAGGTCCAATATTGCGTGATAATCGAGATAACAATGATCTTATATGTTTCAATGCCAATTCATGAGATGTACAGTGATCTAGATTATAGTGCTCTAGCATACATTGCTCAAGGGTACAGTTCTTTTGGGTACAGTGCTCTCATGTGTGAGTACAATTCTCAAGGGTACAGTTCTCTAGAGTACAGTTCTCTAGGGTACAGTGTTTTGGAGTACAATTCTCTAGGGTACAGTGTTCTAGATTACAGTTCTCTAGGCTACAGTGTTCTAGCATACAATCCTCAAGGGCACAGTTCTCTAGCATTGAATGCTACAGAGTTGGTTGAACCTTAGATAAAGGGTAAAGGTCTTTGGAGATGTTTGGTTGCCTATATATCTTTATTTTTCTAATCAGCGTTCCTAGTAGTGTTGTCGCGATTAATCGATACATCGCGATATACATCGCCAAAGCTGATTCTGGCGATGCATCGATGTCTGAAACAAAACATCGATGTTTTAAAAAAAAATTCATTTGCTAAAAATCACCCTTTCTTATCTTATTTTGACGCAAATCGCTTAACTTTCTCATGTCTTATTTCATTTCCCAATGTTTTCTGATATTATTTCGCCTTAAAACTGTTTTAGCTAGTCGAAATGAACCATTAATCTAAAGAAAATTACTTTACTTTCATTTCACCATTACTAGAAGTTCCCGGATGAACCAGCGTTCTGTATTTTAGTGCATTAGCGTTCGGTATTTCAGTGCACTTTTCTCGGACTTTTTCTCGATGTACATCGCGATGTGCATCGATGTTTACGACTGAAAATTGCCGATGCATCGATGTACGATTATGGCACATCGCGACAACACTAGTTCCTAGACTACAGGTTTCCGACCTTTATTGAAAAAGATGTTACCTCAAAATGTATCTTATATGGTATTGAATCATTCAACATTCTAATTTTTGAGTGGTTTTAACAATACATGTAGAATTATTCTGGATGAGATAAGGGTGATTTACTCACTTCGAGAGCCATGTTAGATTTTGAAACTTATGGCTCTCAAACAGGGAAATGGACAGCTGAATAATAGTGACCTTTCAAACACGAATTAAGTCGATCAGCGGCCTACTTTTGTTCTCTAACTATCGAAAAAGAAGTATTTCAGCGCTCCAATACTTGCACGGATTGATGATACTGATGTAAGACACAGTTAGAGACCAAAAGTAAGCCGCTGAAATCTTTATTCATATTTTAAAGGTCACTATTACTCAGCTGCCCAAGTGCGCTGTGGGAAAGCTATTGTATCAAAATCCACATAGCTTTCGCAGGAAGTAAAGGGTGATATTATCAAAAAAATTGTTTCTAATGCATACACCTTTTAACTTGTTTTAAGTTTCATGAAATTCAAGGTACAAAAAACCTTATTTACACTTGCACTCCACATTATTGATTAGACTCCACAAATTATGTAAGGGCTCATTCCATAGGGTTTGCATTAAATTGTTTGATTTGTTGAAAAGATAGGTCTTAAAGGCTGTTTCTATGTAAAAAGAGCAAAATCTTTGCAATGACCCCTTATTTAGAAATATGTATTATTGAGCCAATTTTAGCCTCTTTATTAGCAATTTTTGGCTTTTTACATCAACTGCTGGGATAAATTATTAACCGAGTCATATGTACATATGTAGTACATTACTAGTCGTATGTACATATGTAGTACATTAAAATGCTCAACATGTAAGAGAATAGAAACTCCACTTTTGCAATTATATTCACCAAACTCTTCTATCTACCAGGGTGCAATGTAAGCACAATGAGAACCTCAGAACTAGTTCGTTGTAATCTGGGCCAGCTGATGTTTTAACATGTGTAGGAAAACTATTGCGCACCATGACTCTAACATATAAAAAGAGAAAAGGCTAGCATGGCTTACAGTGATGCCTTCAGGTTTCTTTCTCAATATGGTGCTTAATCACTTGCTTTTGTCAAATCATCTGTTTGACAGGCTGCAAATATATTTTCAACAGGATGACAATAGCAACCGATTGCTCTATTGCTTGGGAGATCACTGGAATAGCCTAGCATAATAATGAGACTACGCATACTCAACATTGTATATTCTAGTATTATGCCACACAATAAACATTGTAATCTCATCCAACATTAACTTGCCACACGTCTCGTTTATTAGTTCAGGGGATATAAAGAAATACCAAGCAAGTCAAACATGAGAGGTAGTTTTGCCACTGTATTATGGGTAATTTTAAAGCAGCATCATACATGTCATGCATGTATTTGTATATATTAACTATTTTTATCTGGATAAAATATTCAAATTGTATTGTTTTTAAGGTTTAACTTATAGTGAAGATTATGTGCAGTTTTGTTACAGCAATTAAATGTTATATTCAGTATCAAATCATGCAGTTGCAGCATATTGTATTGTTATAAGGTCAAGGTCACTGCATCAAGGGTACAAATTAAAAGGTCAAGGTCACTGCATCAAGGGCTTTGTATTACAAGGTCAAGCTTGCACATGTATATCACTTATATTTGTTTTAAAAATAACTTCAGTGAATCTCTACTGCAGGTGCTTTGTGTCTTTATTTTGCCCAAATTGATATTTTCTTTGCAACTTTGTATAGAAAGGGGCTGTTTGTAAGGGATTGGGTATATGTATTCAAAATCCAAAGAAACCCACTCTTTATACTGAATTTTATGATGCATATAAATGTAGAAACAGTATTTTGATACACAAATGCATGAGCCACACTTTAAATGATGTATCATCATTTTATCTGGCACAATGATCCAATTGTACATAATCATGATGCGAAATACATAACATTTTAAAAATTGCACACTATATATTATATTTAGAATGTATAGAGGTTATCATATTAGTTTAGTTTAGTTTAGTTTAGTTTAGTTTATCTCAAACAAAGAAAAGACCCCAGGCACATATTTTACAAAAATAATACGATATATGTTTACATCAGTTTAGCAGCTCCGGTCTTTGGTTAGATGCTATAGCAGAAAGTTGAAATGGAAGAAAAGAAATGAAATGGAATTCATTCTCCAAACTTTATGCCTTGGTACAATTAACAAAGAGGACATATGCGATATGCCTTTAACATATTCTGATAGTGATTCAGTATTAGTCACTATGTGTCACCAATGCATGCTGTATCATATGTGCTGTACCATGTGTATGTGTGCTGTATCATGTGCTGTACCATGTGTATGTGTGCTGTACCATATGTGCTGTTCCATGTCTATGTGTGCTGTATCATATGTGCTGTACCATGTGTATGTGTCCTGTACCATATGTGCTGTACCATGTGTATGTGTGCTGTACCATGTGTATGTGTGCTATATCATATGTGCTGTGCCATGTGTATGTGTGCTATATCATATGTGCTGTACCATGTGTATGTGTGCTGTACCGTATGTGCTGTACCATGTGTATGTGTGCTGTATCGTATGTTCTGTACCATGTGTATGTGTGCTATATCATATGTGCTGTACCATGTGTATGTGTGCTGTATCATATGTGCTATACCATGTGTATTTGTGCTGTACCATATGTGCTGTACCATGTGTATGTGTGCTGTACCATGTGTATGTGTGCTATATCATATGTGATGTGCCATGTGTATGTGTGCTATATCATATGTGCTGTACCATGTGTATGTGTGCTGTACCATATGTGCTGTACCATGTGTATGTGTGCTGTATCATATGTGCTGTACCATGTGTATGTGTGCTGTATCATATGTGCTGTACCATGTGTATGTGTGCTGTACCATATGTCCTGTACCATGTGTATGTGTGCTGTACCATGTGTATGTGTGCTGTATCATATGTGCTGTACCATGTGTATGTGTGCTATATCATATGTCCTGTACCATGTGTATGTGTGTTGTACCATATGTGCTGTACCATGTGTATGTGTGCTGTATCATATGTTCTGTACCATGTGTATGTGTGCTGTATCACATGTGCTGTACCATGTGCATGTGTGCTGTATCACATGTGTTATACCATGTGCATGTGTGCTGTATCATATGTACTGTACCGTGTGTATGTGAGCTGTACCATATGTGCTGTTCCCTGTGTATGTGTGGTGTATCATATGTGCTGTTTCATGTGTATGTGTGGTGTATCATATGTGCTGTACTATGTGTATGTGTGCTGTACCATGTGAATGTGTGCTGTGCCATTTGTATCAAAATGTATACATATATACTATTAAAGTTTGTAAATCATATAGAATAGGATATCCTCCCCTTTATTTTTTCCTTCCATTGGATGTGGGGTTATTTCAGGAGGGTTTAATGTAATACTAATCAGCATATACAGGTGTCTGATTTACAATATGATTTTTCGAAAAGTGTATTATTTAAATCCAATCAGATTAAATACTGTAAAACATTGGATCAATTAAATAAACATGATAGATTACTTGTACCTTTATTTTTCATGCTTAGCTGTTTAAAATAAGTTTTAGATTTTTTGTCGTAATCAGCAACATGATGTGCAATGTAGCAGTATTTTCTTCAACTCTATATAACAAAAACAAGATAATTTGCTAAAAATTGATTCAAATGTGGCATTCAGTAGAGTACTTGGAAAGAAACAATCAATTGTCATTTTTAATCCAATATATGTGTATACCCAAAACTGAATATCAGGGGTATTGTGGCTTTATAATACATGTAATAAGCAAGAAATGATATATTTTCTTTGTTATCACAGGCTCTTAGATGTTACAAGGACACTGTGATTTTAATTCTTGATTTTAACTTTTCATATGATTTTCTCTCCAATATTTCACCAAAGAAATGTATGAAACCTACATTCCTCACTTTTGTATGATGGCACTACTATTAAGTTACTAGTACACAAGTTGCTTTCCAAAGGCAAGGCACAAACTATCACAAGGACATCTGTATCTGACTGCTCATTGCAACACAAAAGTGTCCTTGTAACATTAGCAATAAAAAAGAGGAATCTCTGTCACAAAAGTGAGGAAATTGCATTGTGGTAAAACTGTTTAAATTGGGAATCCAAATTATCACGCTAACAGAACACCATCCATGATGTAACAAGAACATATTGTCCTCATAAAGAGGAAGATATATTGTCCGCATAGCATATTAAGACCCTTGTTTTAATAACAGAATGAGACCAAAAATACTGTGTTAAGAATAGTGTATCATTCACAGTTAGGTTATCAAATTGTAGATATTGGTTAAAAATTTATCATATATTTAAAGAAAGTTAGTATATTTACAGTACCATTGTATATGTTATATATTTTATGCGCTCACTGCTCAGTATTGAGTAAAATATCTGATATCACCACGGACAAATGTGGTCATCTATGTACACTGGATGTGATCAATGTACATGTAAAATACAGTTTCTATGAATTAAGTTAAGACAGGGATTCCTAGATATCGATTTAATTTGCAATCATGTACCTATGATGTAAAATATGCCTGTTCTTCAGATTGCATTAGTAATTGAAATTTTTTTAGCAAGGGGAATTCAAGCACCCCCCCCCCCTTCTGGCCAAAACTTATTTTAGAATCATGCAGTTTTTCAGTGTTTTGAGCACTTTCCAAGTGATTTTCTGCCAAAATTGTCAAATTTGAACTCCCTTGGATCTTTTTAAAAACTGAACCCCCATTGGCAAAAGCTGGCTACAGGCCTGTTATTACACGGTAACATTGTCAACTTGACATTGTAATAAAAGCAAGTGGTCTATCATGCTACTTTTCCGTCTCAAATACATTTGCCTTGCTCTGATCAGTATGTGCATTGACTTGAATAATTTAATCACATCCATAGTTTGTAATCACTGCTTCATATTGATTCATCGTTGATAAGAATACATACAAACATGTTTGATAGAGATCATTTTTGATATGAATTCATGCTTGCACTTGATTTTGACTCACATTCGAAATGATTTCATGATATGGATACAAATTTTATATGCAGTCATTACAATGTTTCGCATTGTGCTTAGCAATGCAAAAGCTATTGGTCTGATTAGTTTGTTATAAGTTATTTTTGAAAATATGTTTTTACTCAGTATTTATTTCATAAACCTGTAATGACTAAAATTAAGACCCTATTGTATAGTTAACACCCTATAAGGTGTGCTGCTATTTTAAATGTGAATAGATAAATAAATATATATAAAAATTAAATAAGGAAATACATATTATGTGAAATATGATCATACATGATCAATGAAATGGGTTGCTCATGAACACCTAATGCAAGGTGGGATTATAGTGTGTCATATTTTATATGGAATAGTATTTTATATGGATAAATGTTTAGGAATATAAATTTGAAATGGAAGATCCAAATTGAGTTTGTATATTCTTATGTCACCATCAAAAAGAAGTGGTATATTGCTGTAGCAAAAATTTTGTGAGTGGCATTCAACATGCATAACAACAAATGGTTAAACTTTTGTAATTGCAATCAGATTGAGGCATTTTGTCATTTATGTCATTGTATGCTGACAACTTGTATCAAAACACATAATGTAATAAAATGTTAAAGACCATCAGGACAATCCAATGTACAGGGTGGTAAAAAACGGAAACCCTGCATTTTCCTCATATCTTTGTCATTTAAAAAAAATACTCCCTGATATTTCACACATTTGTACATCATTCAATTTCCTACTACCCTACCATATTTCATGACCATCAGACTGATAGTCACAATTTTACAGCACTTTGAACAACATGCTTCAGGTTTGGCATTATTGCGCTGTAGGCAAACCTGCACAGTTGTCAATGATCCAAATGCATTCCTCAGCAGGTATGACCTGAATGATACAGATGATCTCACTTTTGAGGTCTGCAATTGTCCTGAGGTCATTCTTATACACTCTATCTCTGCCATATTCCCATAGGTAGGGACATTTTGGACGACATGTACAGGTTGGTCTACAGCGCAATAGTGGCCACCGGGTATGTTCTTTAAAGTGCTGTAACACTGTGACTATCAATCTGATGGTCATGAAAGAGGGTAGGCATATAGGACATTGAGTGATGTACAAATGTGCAAAGTTATTTCTAAAAATAACAAAGATATTAGGAAAATTGTGTTAGGGTTTCCCGTTTTTTTGACCACCCTGTATATGGCTGTCAATTATGCTTAAATCACTACACCACTGGCGGACCCATGGACCCCTCCTTGGCTGGGTCCAGAAGAGATTTTAAGGGCCTCAAAAAGTGGGCCTTTTTGGGCAAAACTTGGGCTTTTTAGGCCAAATTATCAAAATATGGGCCTCAAATTTTCAATATTTGGGCCCGATATTGGGTTTTGGGGCCCCAAATTTTTTCCCTTCACAAGCGCGGAATTTTTTTTGTAGAACTCTGTAGAATTCTTGTCTTATTTACATATGATACACCTTAGTCTACCTGTACAATCAATGGCTTTGAAAGGGTGAATAAGTTTTGCTGTCGTATACATTGTTTTATGTGAAGAAGTTTCAAAATATGAACAAAGAACACATTTTCTAATTTATTTTTGTACTTAACATATATTTATTTGTTTTAATACAACTGTTAGATGCTTGAAGCTATCAAGTCTATTTGTATATGTATACATACAGGGTGGGCAATAAAAATGGGACAGTTTGTTTCATTCTTAAAAGTTTTTAGGATCACATAGATAAATAAACCATGTGTAATATACCATGTTTTTCGAGGCAATGTGTCACATTTCTTGCTTCAAGAAAAAATAATTAAAACTTGCATTAATTGATTTGAAACTTTACTTACATGTACAGAAATATTCAAACTTCATACTCTTCAATTAGTTTGATATTTGGTTCATATCTGCTCTTTGAAATAGAATATATATACAGTCATATTTGAGTGTCCCATTTTTACTTGCCCGCCCTGTATATATCAATATGTGTATTATTTTAACACTTTGGAGGCAGCTAATCTTAGAATACTAAAGGAAATAGCTCAAATAGATATTTTTGAATAATAATGTGAAAAATAAATGTTTTTGTACATAAGCATATTAGATATTAGATATGGCATATTTTCAAAATAATGAATCGAATTATGTGGTCACGAATAAAAGAGAATTGGGAATGTGCATGTGAAATTAATGAATTCTAAAACCAACGCACTTGAGATTCTGGGCAAAGCTTCTTTTGTATCTCCTGAGTATATGGTAATGGTTATACTTTAAGATGGCAGCGTCATCAGAGTCAGTGTCTTCTGTCTCTGAGTTAAATTCGCAACAACTTCTATAACACTGCCATCTTTTAATAAATCTACAATTCACATTTGTCCCCAGCAGTATTCAGGTATTGTCCCCAGGTGGTACATGTGATATCATCTTATTTTTTCAAAGGCAATATTCATGTTACATTAATATTTATTTCCCAGGTTCACATACATTAACATGGTGGCCGAATCGTGCAATTGGGCCATGGACGGGGTAGAGGTCCATGGTTGGGGGCAGGTATTGTAGGTTTCCATGGGGCAATATTTTCTGAGGAACAATATTTTACTTTGGGCCCTAATGATATGTTACATATTAACCTTTATCTTCTCAATGCTAATACAACACTTCAGGCTGGTCGTTGTGACTATTATATGCTTCGTTCAACTCTCCCTGTTTGGATGGTACAGTTGGGGCAACCATATCGATGCTATCATTGTCATAGATGTTCTTTGCTCTGTCTTGCACTGTGTCTAAAGGTGGAGTTTTCCTGTAAGATTTATGTACCTTTGAGTAAATGTCATCCTCCACATCCAGCTGGAAATAAAATAAAAGGAAATTATCATTCTGATTTCACATTTTTCTGATTCCAATGGATGACAAGGACAGTTGGATTAAAAATGAGACATTTCTGGAATAACTGTTACATGTTTTAATATTAATGACGACATAAACCACTTTGCATAGCCAGCATTTACCTGTACGTGTTTTGTTTTTATGGGATCAGTTGGCACATGCGATCTCTCATTCATATCATTCAATACATCGTTTTGTATATCATTTTGAAGAGGTTCTAGGTAAGGTTCAATCACGGGTGCCTCCATCGCTTCTGTTGGTGTATGATGTTCTTTTTGTGTCACAGGTATTGTTTCAACGTGTGATTTTCCTGAACCAACATGTCTCGGCAGCAAAGAAACCTGCTGTTGAGGTTGGGCAACTTGTTGCCATTCTTTTGGTGGATCTATTATCTCGGCCAATGCAGCAGATGCAAAATGTTGCCTATCAGTTGAAGGTGAGCTGAGAGATGGTAGGGAGCCCGGCATTGAGTTTGCATTTGTTTTGTAAGCTGGCGGGGGTGTCTCTGTAGGCACTGGTACTTCTATTTTAGGGGGTCTGCTAGTACTGCTTACAACGTTCAATGTTGTGTACACATTTTTCTCCGAGATTAGTTGCTTGTCTGATCCTGGCTCGCTACCCAGGATCTTGTGGTGTGGATGTACGGCGAGGGCAAACCCAAAGACGTACTCCGCCTCCATCACTCTTAATCTATCACTGAGTCGAGTGGGACCCCATTCCTTTGCAGGAGTACATGTTTCTATGAGTCGCTGAAAATGTAGCATCTTCATTTGAAAGCACTTTTGAGTAACATGCTTAGATGACAAAACAGACTTATAAATATTGGGAGGAGGTTCCAGCTAAATAATTGGCAAGTCCACAATGACGTGTGTACATGTAACCTCTATACTATTTCGGTTACAATGAAAATAGACCACGTCATGTGACACATTACTCTTTTTACAATTGTATTTTTCAATCAGTCGTCATAATTATCATTGCAATTAAGAAGCCAGCTAACATAAGTTGTATCAAACTCAGATAAAATAAAATCCACATACCTCTTTCATGGATCCCTTTGCCCTACACAGCCTGAATATGGCCACAACGAAGATGGGCAAGATGGCTATTAGCCCTAGAATTATGCCGACCCAATTAGCCCAAGTTGGATACTGATAGTCACCAAACTGTCGTATTTCCTGGTACCAGTCCACCCATTCAAAGAACATGATATACTGAAACGGGAATAAATAATGTTGATCCCAAAGAAAATGATGGTTTTAGTACTGAACATACAGGCTCCTCGATTGCCGTAGTATTAGAATGCTATTAGATGCACGTTTTCATTTGTCTAACGCTTGTTAAAGATGGAAGGGACTGTGGAATCCACAATGGATGCTACATGTGTGTATGTTTTCCTCCACAGGCTGTCCTCTGACATCCTGTACTGTTTTCATTCACTCACCAGCATCATGATAGGGGCTATTACTTGACACCCGGCTCTCCACCACCAGTAACTACATCCCCCTGTCTGACGCCCTCCTATCATCAACTGTATATCCCTGGAGAATCTCGACCAGCCTGGAAATTAAAAGCAAATCATTCATTTTACATATGGTTGTTTGTCAATATGTAAGTATGCAGTTGATGGTCGTAGGCACAGATTCAAATAGGCACAATCACTCTTTTCGGCATTCTGCTCGATACAATCTGACCCTTGTCATCAGTTTTATTACATCCTTCCGCATATCCATTTGATTCTGCATGTCATTCTCTTGCAAAGGATTTGACTTCATTTTCAATTTGGTTGATTGTTTGTCAAAAAATTATTAAAAATTAAAGCAAGTATGCATGATCCTAACAAAACTAGATTCAGACACTTACCATATACCCAAGAAATGGTAATGGACTCCAGGAAGAGAATAGTGACAATCGGCCAAGCTGTGATAGAATTATCAAGGAGCCATATGGCATACACTCCACCCTGTAAAATGAAAAATAACCCCAAGTTAAACTGACGTTGGACATTGTTGGCACATTCGGATAAGCCGCGCATTACTGTAAATGAATGGCATAGTCATGATGGGAAAGTCATCTAAATAAGTACAGTACCAGTTATCCATAAGATTATACAACCAGTTGTGGTGCTAGGCCAATCAAAATGAGTTATGAGATCAATCAAAGCAATCGAAGAATTTGTTCTAGTAGTAGTATCAGCATCTGAAACAATTAAAAAGGATATGCGCGTCAGAAATATATGAATTGTAACTAACCTGGGTGCAAAGGAGGAATCCAAACAGGAGGAATACGAGGCAAAAGAACAGCAAAATGACAATCTTCCTGTTCCTTAATGATGGCCTGTAGTCTATGATGGCAGTGAGCAAAACTTGTGTCCAGATGAACTGAAAAAAAGACAAAATAATCCTCAGTGGATAAAATAAGTAATTTAATGATATAAAAATGGCAGTGATTCGAACAAATGGACAAATTACACACCATAGTTTTCATATCAACCAAACACTTTCAATGAAAATGAAGAGACATACTTCAAAATGAAAATAAAATCAAAATGAAATGGAATCCATGAGACAATGAGCGAGCTCTCAATTTTGTGGCAGAAGCTAGCAAGACCAGACATACAATGTCTGCATATACCTGCGTTATGGTTTAAAAGGATTCGTAATATAACCCATTCTGTTATCAAACTAGGCCTACTCAATATTTACCAGTGTGTCTATGCCAACACTTAAGACAAGGAGGAACATCCAAACTGCCCAGAATGCTCTAAGATCCCCAATCCTAGAGATTGAGTGTGCGACCACAACAAATATACCTTCAGGACCTACAACATGAAGAAATGTCAACACACGCACACAATGTCGTCCAGGTATAAGATTGATTATGCATCAGAAAAATGTGTTTCCTCAAATATTTGTTCTCTTATTTATTTCATTATAGATCAGAATCAAGCCAATTCATCTTGGTTAATTTATTCTACATATATATTATACCTTCTGCAAATATCTCTTGTGCTGACAGGCTGTCTGTTACATTGTCCATGCTTAGTGAGTACTCAAGGTGCCCGATGTAGGTGTAGACCACAGCTACAGACAAAACACTGGTGAGGGACACCACGATACACACCAACAAAGAGCTCCTGCAAATATGAAAGACTAAAATAGTTTCTCTGAACGCTGAATCGATGTTTGGTTAATGTTCATTGTTGGGAGGTATTGGGGTAAGCTACATTATATCAAGGACGTCTATTATGTTATGTTCATCTTCTAAAGACGAAATACGTGTTCAATAGCATTAACTGGGGATCTGGTCACGAATGGTCATTCTATTCCACCTTAAGTACGTGTATACAGACAAATCACCCACCTCCATGTAAATGACCCAGTTACATCCAAACAAATGACTTAACTTCCTCTAGAAAATGACTTATCTTCAGACTAATGACCTACATACAAACAAATAACCTACCTCCAGACAGGAGCCTTGAAGTGATTGTAACTATTCAATGTAATGATGGCACCCCAACCAAGACCAAGGGTGAAGACAACCTGTACTGCTGCGTCTTTCCATAGCTGAAGCGTAAAATACATTCAAAATCATAAAAAGAGTACATTTTTAATTTCATAACTTTTCATTAGGAGAATGCATTGGCCTGAAATAAGCTATATATGGTTTGTAAATACCTGAACTAAATCTTAGTAAATTATATCACTGGTCACTAGATATTGCATTATCTAGTGTTTCCAATTTTGCAAAACCTATAACATGTTGCCCCATTAGTCATTACTATAAGGAAGGATGGATACAATAATTTCAAAGCATAGTTCCTCTTACTCTAGAGTCAAGTAAATGTTGCCAGTTCTGCCCGAAGATCTTGTTCAGTCCATCTTGTGAGCCTGGTAGCATAAGACCCCCGACCAGGAGTATGATTAGGCAAATGTATGGAAAGATGGCGCTTAGGTAAACGACCTTGCCAGATGATCGCGTGTTCAAACACAAACAAAGAAACACAATGAACCAAACACCAACAAGGGAGATGGTGGATTGCCATATAACATCCCCAACATTGTCTATACCATTGTTGTTTGCTTCCAAAAAGTACCGCCTGCAAAAGTATAAAATAGATTGAATAATTAAGTACAAACTTGAGCGCAAGAATATAACTTCGACTTAGAATTAATTCAGACCTTTTGCCTACCAGAAGTACTCTTTGGCTGATGAAGATATTGCTATGCCGCTTCCCTTTGCCAGAGTTTGGTTCCATATTCCTAAGACTGTTCCATTGGGACCAAAACATGTCCCATTTGGAGCTTGATACGCCAACGGATCGCTACAGCTTGTCGCAGGAGCGAGTTGAAGACAGTCTGTAAATATGATACCAAAATGGTGAATCCTGTTGTTTGATGAATTTAAGCAAAGTTTAGTTGGCATCCTCTTTGAGAAAAGGTTTTCCTTGCTTTTGATATGCCCTACAGTATAGTCGCGAAAAGAATGATGAAACATCTAGATAAGGAAGGTTCATGTGGTTCTATACCAAGGAAAATACTTACATGAAGATGGTCCCCTAGTGTTCCACCAGTTCCCCCTGTTACACGTTGCCCAGGGTAATTCGGGAATGACAGTAAAAGATGCAATAAGGTAGAAGATTGCCCAGGCAACATACAGCGAGTAATAAAGGCACACCAACAAACATGCTAGGAACATAGCACCGCCAATCCCTACAAATAGACAGGATTTGGATCATTAATAAAAACCTGTTCTTATATATCGCCATTGCCTTTTGGAAGAACGTTTATGAATGACTATTAAAGACTCGCTAGTAAATCGACTAAGGCTTCACAACAATGGCATTCGCTCAGAAGTGAAGCTTCGGCATCAATTATTACCATGTCACAAATAACTAACTTTGTCAGCTCCACCATTTGTTACAAATACACAGCATAATATAATGTATATTAAGAGGTATATGCCTACCTGTTAAAAGAGGGACACATGTCCAGCAGTTGAAGATACCAAGACTGCAGAACTGACCCAGGGCCGACTCCATGAAGAACAAGGGTATCCCGAACAGGAAAACCATAAGGAAATAGACCAACAAAAATGGAGCTGAAAATCAACTAGCCATCTATAGTATACTATCACGTTTTTTATTTTTATATGTTTTTTTTCTCATTCCCGTCACAAAATTTCTTTTACATAAGATTAATTTTATATTCATGTTTGTTTAAAGTAATATTGATTTGTTTTAAGGTTGATATGATTTCTTACCTCCACCATGTATGTAAGTCAAATAGGGAAAGTTAAAGACGGTCACGAGACTTATTGAGTATGCAAGACAAGCGAAGAAGTAGTTGAATCTTCCACCCCAATACTCCCTATCGTAGTCCTCAACATATTCTTCCTTGGAATACTCAGGCTGAAACAGTGCGAAAATCATAATTATTTGTTTCATATTTATCACTCTGAAATGAATTATGCATTCATGGCAGCTCCACCATTTGTAAACAATGTTAGGCATTATTAACGTCCACGCCAGCTCTCTTATTACAATAGTTAGAATTGTGAGCGTCTTACATCATTTGTAATTAATTCTTGGAGGAATTATGGCAGCTCCACCATTTGAATACGATGCTTGGAACCAGGAATGTGTATGCTGTTACACCATTTGTCATCAATGCTTCGAACTATGGCAGCTCCACCATTTAAAACACGATGCTTGGAATCAGGAATGTGTATGACTGTCACACCATTTGTTATCAAGGGTTGGAGTTGAAACGTATAGCAGACATGTACGGTAATTCCAACAATGCTTGGAATCAGGTGGTACATTTATGATTTTTTTTTCAAAAAAAGTTCCAAAACAACTTAAACATTATGAGGGATACAAATTAGAACACCATTTTCAAACGAAAACTATATTTACTCACCATCATATACTCATGTTGGGAAAGTGACTCCACTTCTTGTTTTTCTAGGATATATGGCACAGCCTGATTCACCTGAAAATTAGAAATAGCGTGACGAAAACGCATATAAAGCAAAAAATGAACATAAACAATACAGATCCTTCATTGAAACATTTGCAATGATCTTAAATTGATATACAGAGTAAGATAATATAACCGTTATCCAAAACTTCCAATCTACCCTTTTCAATAGTTTGTCTTCATTTTTACAACAGGGCTTCGTCTTTAGTATTACGGCTGGTATTTTGGTCCTAGGGTTTAAATGGCAAATATATACGTCCTTTTGGGCTCTTGTCGCAAATCACTCAAGGTCAGTCAGGGTCATATATGAGCTAGGGTACAATCATCAATGGGAACAAAAATATTTATATATTACTTACAGGGGGTATATTCTGGACTGAAATATCCACATCTTGTACACTGACTCGCTCTCTTTTGTATACAGTCCTCCCACTTCCATCAGAAATGAGGTATGGTATAGCATGTATCTGTAAAAACATTAACAGTCTATACTTTGACAAGTGTGGTATTTCGCAAGCTTTATTAAATCGGGTAACTTTGAGAGAAATAAAATCTGAATTATAACGTTTTTATTGAAGTCATACAAACGGGGGTTCGATTTTTGTAATAAAAATTATATCTTGATTCATGCATGTTTTTCATATAAAAATATATGTAAGTCAAGATGGGGGAGTTAAGGTAGACCACACTTTATCTTCATCAATCAATGACGAATCTTATAGCAATCAAGGCGTTATTCATCTCCGTATGTAAGTCAAGTGCAACAGAACTGGAGTATGCAGCACACAACCCCTTCAAAAGTTTGGAAATGAAGACTTGCCTTACCATTGGAGAGCTTGTTCAAGCCTATTAATGTATCGATTTCCTCAATTACAAGATCGAATTACAAATTTAAAAAATAAAAAATTAACATATCATGTCTTTTTCGTAAGTGCCAAACAAGCGTTTTCAGGAGGTCGAATGGGAATAAGGTTGACACTGTTTTATAGTAGAGAGCACTTCATAATTCGTCTTTTGATCATTGTTTTCACCAAGATATGAATATCAGATTTTTATCATATTCATTGTATATTTTGTATACATCATTCTGCAGTTAACAGTATCTATATAGTGCTTTAAAATACATTTTGAATGTTAGTTGTTGACCTCAGATTCAGTTCATACGTTTAGTTGATGGTGTGTGCATTGTACGACAGGAACAGAAAATATTCAAGTTGTAGATTACATTCATTTGACAATTTAAAGATAGAAAAGTCAAGTCATTTTAAGGAACTAACCTGGCGAGTGGGCTTTGAAATAGAAACATTGTCAGCATCTGGATCTGCTATGAACGGCACTGCGCTTTTCATGTTGGTATTCTGTGACCTGTCGATAACGACGACATTGCCCCTCTTCGATACCTGCTCTTCTATTTGCCTCTTGTTCTTTTGAGCTGCCATTTTAAATTTCTCATTTAATTTTCTAATCGTCGGGGGATCTACTCCCCGATTGTAATCAAAGATGAAATAGGTGGTATTGTTGATGACTTCACTCCATGCAAGCACGTACCACACCCAGGTATGAATTCAAAAGTGGATTCTTATTTTAAGGTTGTAGCCTACTAAAAATCCCATTGAACCAAATTTGTTTTGTGCTAAAGTAAATATTCTCCTCACAATCGACAATGTACATAGCAAACAAACTCGAAAAAGTCGCGAGACTAGCATGGAATACACAATTCTTTAAAATTCTACATCCATTCATTGAGGACGTTTAATCTTTTCACTAGGAAAATATTACGATTTTTTAAAAATTATATTCAGAGGGACTTGAATTTTTAGCAAAGTTTGAATAACCATTAAGTCTGCTCAAAGCGGATGTTATTAAACTTTACCAATTTTCCATTTCTACGACTTTATTTAATTTAATTTTTCTATTCACTTATTATTTGCTGGGATCTCGTTATGCACACATCTATCTTGGAGAGAGCCTCTCCGATATTTCCAGAATAGTACTTTTGCACCATTTTGTGATCTCTTGATAAAAATAACAAAAGAGACAACTTATGATAATTATTTTTAGTATTTCCATGTAAATTATAACAATTCCAGCTGTAATATACAACTAATAACGACTACTTTCTTTACATTTATACTTTTCACAAGTAAGTACATTTAGTAAAAACATGCGTAACCTCCGTATAAAATTTGGCGTATAACGCGTCCCGAGTTCAAAGTCAGCTTGATCAAAAAGTAACTGGATGATTAATGGTAGATTCATTCCATGAACAGTGTGACAGTAATTCAACTGTGACTAGGACTATAAAATGAGTGTCATCTAGATAATACCGTTGTCACCGAACCACAGGGTAAAGTGCATATCTGCCAAGTAAGTGTGAACGCAGAACATCACTCCGAATAAAGGTTGAAAGAATGGACGTATTTATATCACTCACAAAATTTGATTTTTTACATTTATTACATTTCATCATCTTAAGAGTACGTGTCATATTTAAGGAGGGGTCCTTACATGTTCTGGTCCGTAAAACTGTAAAACTTCAAAATATATATAATATTAGGAATCTAAATGCTGTCAATGTCGAACAAAATAATACATGATCTTTTGCATTGACCAAATTAATCATTCTTCTTCATGACTGTGTTAGAAGCCAATTCTGACCAGGAAAACTGAAAACGGCGCAGACGTCAGGACACTCCGAAAGAACCATCCCCCTGGCTAAGCCTATGAGTTCTCTTATTGATGAAATTTTTTTTAGCTCAAACGTATGCATCTCCATTTGTTTCATAATTTTTCTTAAAATATTTCTTCCGGGACGTGTGATATACATCACACAGAATGACATTGCTTCATGTTCCTTTAATATGTTCATATAGAAATATAACAACGTTAACGTTTTCAATCTGTCATTTTGTTTCATGAAGAATTATTTAATTCAAACCAAATCTAAGATTAAAGCAATTATTTTGCACTTGATATGATGTTGTTATTATGTTATATGTTGTTGTTCTTTTTTGTGTGATATCGGATATTGACCAAATGATATTCAATTACGAATCGAAAGTTGATTATTTTCTCCCAGGTATTGTCTAAAGCATATGATACGAGTATTTAGTAATTAATCATGTTGTTCAACTATATAAAAAAGACAACGGTATCAGAATTCTGAGATTCCTATATTGTCATTAGTTATTGACAGAGCAATAATGAAAACGTTTATGTCAATATATAACTATGTGCTAGTATACTAAAAAAAGTAGTTGTATCTTAGAAAGAAATAACTGAATAATGGAAAAGAAAGGTCTAGATGGTTATGAAATCACAACTCTGGTTCCTAATGAACTAGCTACTTTCATTACAAGCACAGTATTGGACACATCTACAACAGGAATGGCATGGAATACTTCAGTTCAAAACGACCTAAATTCGACCGTAGTACCGTCTAACGCGTCCGTTAAAGACTTTACAGAATACAAGATATCTGTCAGTCTGTGGAAATATTTGTCACCCGTTGTGATTTTAATTGGATTGGTCGGAAATACTCTATCACTTCTCGTAATGAAATTTACAAGTATGAAGCGTACGAATTCGTCCTTATATCTTTCTGCTTTGGCGATATCCGACATTGGAGTTCTCATCGTTGGTCTTGGACACAGTTGGGCTGTTTACATGTTTGAGTTTAACATTTGGAACGAACATGAATGGGGATGCAAACTTCAAATATTCTTCACTTATATGTTTGTTGACCTATCTGCGTGGATGTTAGTCTCTGTTACCGTTGAAAGAGTCATTCTTGTGTATTTGCCACTGAAGGCCAAGTCGATCTGTTCTAAAAAGAAAACCATAATGAACATTTGCCTTGTTACATTATTAATCATTGGCGTGAACTTTCAGTGGTTTTTTTCAATTGGAACGATGAAACTGAAGGAAAGTTCATATATTTGTTATTTCCAGGATGGATTTGTAGAATTTAATTCAAAATACTGGCCTTGGATTGATGCATCGGTCGCCTCACTTGTGCCGTTCATCATTCTAATTGTTTGCAACATTTTGATTGTCGCCGAGCTGTTGAAAGCAAGGAAACTGAGAAAAAGGCAAATGAACGTCTCGAATTCGAAACAGGACGACACGATGAAATCTATGACAATTATGCTTGTGACAATATCCTTAGTGTTTCTCTGCTTAACATCGCCGATTGTGTTCGAAATCATAAGAAAGCTCGCAAAACGATATAACGTCGAGAAGCAAGTCCCAATGACTTTGGCTGAGAAGGCGCACGAAACTCTCGTCTGGGTTATTGTGAACATGTTAATGTATCTAAACAGCGCGATGAATTTCTTCATGTATTGCCTAAGTGGAACGAAATTTCGTGATTCGCTTCGAGAATTATCCTGTGGAAAAAAACAATCGACAAGATAATATTGTATGGTTCATATGGAAAAGAGGCGGTCTTAACATTCTTTTAAGCAACATTAACATGTCATTTAGATATAAACTTCAAAACTACGTAACTTTCTATCAAAATTCTAAATTATATAAAAACCATCAACATAGTTGAGAACCAGGATTCAATCAACATAATTATTGTCGTAGAATAGGATTAATCCTGAACACTAAATAAACTTGGAACACTACTTAGTATTTTATGTTAAATCATTTATACGTAACTAAAAGCAAATATAACATGGTGGACGCTCCAAAGGATCCCGGCCTCATGAACACTTCATTATAAATGGATTATTGATACGCCTATTATATCTCAAAGAAAAAAAATTTGGAACTAATTGAACTCAGACAGGGAGAAACCATATTTTACCATAGCTGTATACAAACAATTAAGCCTTTCGTGGTTCGATCTTTAATCGAGAAGAAATTGTGTGCTGTTTTAACAATGATCGAAAAATAATTATTGTGACCATGTACACCATAAAACTGACCACATCGGGATAATTACCCGGGGATAATTACCCAAATGCGAAAAATCAGTCTTGGATTGGCGAAATTACAGTGTAATTTTTGTGCGACATCTTGTTGCGAACTTTCTTCTATTTGGAATCATCAAGGACTTAATTCAAATACCGGAGCATATTCACAAATAAGCGACTCTGATAGACACTTACCGCATCGTGAAAATATCAGGTAACAAGTCCTACTAATATAATAACTCAAGACATTAGATTTTAAACCAGCTCATGTAGAATGCAATCGCACTGAAACCTAAGGTGTACCTTATATCTGGAATGAATGTATACATGTATAATGAGACAGTAATGCCGAACAATTTAAATCACCAGAATCAAGACGATGTTGAATTCGAAACCTATAATTTTTTCCCGCTTGTGAAAATGAACTGCAATCCAGTCAAGAAGTTATTTCTGTGCACTTTGTGTGTGTCAGTGTGCACTATCATGGAGACGGCGCTTCCCCATTGTCGTACCTTATGCGTAGAGGCATGCTCAGGGTGTGAAAATGTTATGGATGATTTCGATTTCGAATGGCCCGATAGTTTAGCCTGCGAGAAGTTCCCAGGGTTTGGCAATAATTTACGTGTGGGACGAAAGAAACGCAGTACACCATGCCGTGGTGGTATCTCTTCTAGACCCGACAAAAAACACTCTATCACCCCAGCTTATAGAGATCGTATAGGTAAACTGAATTCGAATGACAAAGAGTATGACAAGAATGGTAACCTACGTCCCTGGTATGTATGTATGTATGTATGTATATCTATATTGCCATTTGTGAAAAGGAACAGTGAATCTGTGACAAAATTTAAGAATACTACCAAGTGAATGGAAAACCAGTATTCTACATATAAACTTGATGATAAAAATTCCTTCAGATATATTTTACAAGTTGATTTGATCTCCAGAGAGACTACGACATGAATAAAACAATTGATAGTGATGTACTCATCTGCCTACCTTAAGTACATGGGTTTTAACAAATTCGAAACACTGTGTATATGCTTTATAACAAGAGCAACATTTCATTGTAAACAAAGCCCATTAATGCTATATCAGACTTGTACTAAATGATTTTATGAGTTGTTTTTGATTTTTCATGATGAAAGAGAAGCATTATGAAAATTATATCATATGTGTATACAATTATTGTATATAGCTATTATAATCATATATTAATGAAACTACAATCATTTATGATATTCTGCATTTGATTTGCGTTGCATTTGAAAATATATTTGTGAGCTAAATTGCTGTGAGAATTTTATCTTAAAGCCTCAGGCATATGATAAATTCTTGGAAAAAGTATCACTTGTTGGATATCAGTTTCAACTAATTAAAGAACAAGTGTGGAAATATGCTTTTCTTCATAATCGAAAGTTATCTGCTAATTATATTTTAATCTATTTTATCATATAATCACATCATTTTTTCTGATGACTCAGAAATCTATTGTTTTTGATCTTTGAACAGTTAATTTCAATGCGTAACTATGGAAGTTAAACATTTTACAAGTTAACTGGATTTTATGAATCACTTTGGATCGCTAGTGGTGCAGTATTTTCATTCATTGAAATTTGACTTTAGAGTGTTGTATGCATTTTGTTTGTTTAGTTTCCGATATGACTTGTTGCTATGAGGCATAGCCAACCTC